AAAATTTTGACCCTCGTTCAAAATAATAATTTGAATGTGGATAATTAGAAAATTCAACTACAAATTCATAGAGGTATCCCACGTCGAAATCGGAATTAAATTACTCAAGTTATGGAATCTAGAAGTGCAGATATGGGTCCCCATTCTGAAAGCCATTGGTATTACGAAAAAAAAAACGAACATGAAATTGGGTTAAAAGATTAAACCTGGTTTTAAAGAAAAATTTTATCGTATAATAATAGATGATTTAATCACAAATTCATAGAGGTATCCCACTTCCAAATCGGGAACCAATTACTCAAGTTATGGCCCATGGAATTTTAGGTACAAATTTGGCTGCCCTATCTCTGATATCCTTAATTTCATATTTTTTTCTTTTATGAGGTGATGTGGATATTATGAATGGCGTGTTGTTAAATGATTTCCTTTTACCAAAGGATGTTTGGCAATTATAAAAATCTAGTTTGTCTAGCTAACTTAGTTGCTAAGCGCCTTTAACTTTTAGAACGAATTCTTATAGCCCTTCTGTCATTATATTTAACATGCTAATTCCTATATAGACTTTGTCACTAACATGCATTCTAACTTGTTACTAAGCCGACGAATGTAGTAACTATTCAACTAATTGGAATACGACTTATTGGTAAGCTGTTCGTTCCAGTTCCTACAAGACTTATGGTTTTATTATACAAGGTATTTTAATTAAATTTCTGTTGATATAGTAATTGTATTCATTTTTGCTCAACAGCTGTGACTATTATTTAATATATGCTTGTGTAAATTAAAAGGTGTGATTAAAAGGTAAGCTTGCAAAAAAATAATCGGACTGTCACGATTGTAAAACTGATTGGTTCACTTTCGCTTGCATTTTCCAAGCCCTTGAGAGATTTATAAGACGAAGTGCCCTTGACTCGGGTCCCCGACCTGCGATAGGCGTTCCAAAAACTTTCCCAGCTACCTTAGAGAACGTTTAGCAAACAGTGGCAAGGGCAGTACGGTGAAATCTGACCAAAATCAGCACTAATGCTAAACCGCAGTTGAAGGTTTCTTGGCTCGAGCTGAGCAGAAACATTTCGTAGTTTCCAGCTTGTAGATTGTTTGCATATAAATTGTAAATAATTTGCAAGCTTGTTATGCCTTTGTTGCTGTTGCTGCTGTCCGTCAGTTTTTATTTTTATTTTTCGTATAATTTGATTGAGCTACCGAAAAATTGAACGAGGCACGAGTTAGTCCCCCACTTTACCGAGTCTAAAAATTTTGACAGCTGCACGTCGCTGAGTTTCTGGCCAGCCTGACAGTTTATATTTATTAATATCTTACTTATTAAGTTACTCATGTTGAGCGTGGCCAATTGATTTGCCAAAAATGGTGGTTTTGCCAACAAAAAATGCTAATACCAGCTAAGTTCAATGACCGATAAGCAATGCGACATTGATATACCTTCATTGCCTTTTGGCAAACTCACTTAACACCTACTATAAATTAGAGTTGTCACGATAATATTTATAATATTTATTGTGATATATTGCCTTTTTAAATCTTAATTGGCTATGAATCTTTGGAATTAACTTAATAATTGTAGGCATTAATCAGCCAAATGAAGCTTATAAATAGTGCATATAAAAAGAACCACATTGCGTATAAGTGATGTGCCATAAAAGCCAAAGTCAACATGGCGTATGCTTTATATGCTTTGAATAATAGCTCGTTAATTATTTATTGCTTTTTTTCTAAGTAGATTTTGCAAAGACTGAAATTATAGAATATTTTCTGCTCAATATAAATGTTAAAATGCATAGCTTAACAATTTATTATAACATTTAACATAAAAACCTGATTTATGGCAGTCATTTCATATGCAAGTATACAAGATTATTAAAGGGTTATAAGAGGTTTGATTAGATTTTCACAAGCCAGATGCAAATATAACTTATATATATACTAATGAGTCTTAAGCTGTGCCCACACCTAGGCTTAATTTTAAACTCCCACCCGGGAAATCTTGACTTTTGCACTTGGGTTGGTTGGATGGTTGGTTAGATGGTTGGTTATGGGTTGGTTTGCTGGCTGGTTGGCTGGATAAATCCAAGCCATCCATGCAAATGTCAAGCCAGACACCGTTGGCGCGAATAACTGTAATTAAAGTCATCGCCGGCTTAACTGGCCAAGAGCTGTTTAGCTGGTAAGTCGCTGCCAAGGCTCTTTTGGCATTTGTCAAGCGATCTCTAGAGTCTCTAGACTCGGCAGTCTATACCCTAGACTCTAGACTCTAGACCCCCTCCTGGGATCCAACCTCGCCGGGAGGCAGGGAAAATATTATCTTTAATTTGCATTTCAGGCGTTTCGCATTACCAAGGTTCTTGGCCAGCTTTGATCCACTTATTTCTCTTATTTCGCCGCCATTGTTTGGCGGTGTAAATATTTTTGCTGGAAATTAACAGCAATTTGCAACTGAATGTTAACCGAACCGTTTAAGCCGCTTGAAGAGAGTTGGCTCAGAGGTAAACCACAGGTATTTGGATATGCAGGGGTTTCTTTTTTGTTTTTTGAGTTGGGGTTTCAAATTGCTGGCCTGGAAAATTTGCCCCGTCATTGGCAAACAAAACAATACTGACCATCCCCACCGGAGCACGAAATAAAGATCAGTTGAATAAAATATGCAGGTTATAATGCGATTCATGGCTGAGTTCCCAAAATTTATCAGATCTTAAGCGTAAATGTGACAGTTTATTACCAAGCTGATGAAATATGAATTAATGCTCTCTGACTCTGATGAAATGCCAGTTTTATTTGTTTGTTTTAATACTGTTAAAATTATAAATCTTATAAATTGCGATGTTGTTTAAATAACCATTGTTTGCATATAAAATTAAACTTAGTCCGCCCAACTAAGATGCCATCATTTTAACAAGTCTCTTAAAAGCAATGGCTATATCTAAATATTACTACTTTTGTACAATTTTATTTACAGCCGTTAATCACCTTATGACCAATCATAAATCGGTTTTACGGGCTTTAGGTAGCCTCCTTATCTGTCACGTTTATTTAACACGTTCCGCTTACTTTATTACAAATTCTATCGAAATAAATGTTGCTTAAGATAGAACTTTATTGATTTTTAAATGTGCTTACTATTAATTTTACACGGGATTAGTGTCTTACTTAAATCTTTGTCTAACAATTTAACAAGCTTTTGCAAGAATAGCAATTACATAATTATTTAAAATTAACCAATACGGATAGTTAGCGACTATTAAAAGTAGTGACGTGTATTTAATTGTTTCTTTGGTTACTATTTAATAGTAAAACTACCATATAATGATAGGCTCTGTTTATTTTTTTGTTGGGAGAGTAACTATTTCAAATTTACAAAATGGGTTGGGTCCATTTAACTATTATATTTATAAAATGTGCCTAAAAGTTTTTTTTGTGTGTAACGCTGTTAAAAACTGACTTAAAATTATACAATAACATTTATTTGATAGAAAAATATTTGTACATTACATATTCGTGTGAGTTTAACAGACGTGACCTTCATTATTATGTTTGTTTTCGAATTCGTTGCCCCAAAAGAGCCCATCGAATTCAAGTTCATGGCCCCAAAAATCACCTGTAATCCCCCCACCCTGCCCTCTGATTTTTCCCCTCCATCCATCACATCCATCAACATTTCTCCACGCTCTCTCCACGTGATTCACCTGGCCAAAAAGCCCAGCAACGACAACAACAGTAACGAGTTTTCCTAACCAACTTCGTTGGTCGTTGACTTCGGCGGCAAATATGTGTCAAGGTCGTCTGGCGGGCCGGCTCTCTCCATCTCCCTCCGTTTTTCGTCTATCTCTTGTGTACGTGCTGAATGGTGAGGCCCCAAAAAAAAAGTTTACACAATTTCACAATTTGCCGCAAATAACAATAAAGCCGGGGGAATCTCCCTCCGCGTGGAGGATGATCAATTAAAATTGCATTACATAAAGTGAGACGAGTGATTCGAATAAAAAAGAAAAGATATCAGGGATATAAAAAGCGAATAAACCGCATTGAAAGAAACGGAAGCTTGTGCGACCTTGATTTTGTATCTCGTTCTTCGATAGAGCAAAGCTCAAATGCAGGTGCACTTGAAGAAAAGTATGGGTTGTTAGATCTGCTTTAATGTTGTTATAATGGCTCTTTAAAAATAATGCAGATGTATAAAAGATTGCAAAATAATATTTAAATATTAAAAGAGGTTCTGCAGATATTAGATTACTTTAATTAAGACTAAAAACCATTTATAAGGTGTAAGCTTTAGATCATATATGGTTCCATTTTAAAGTTTAGTAAAATATATTTTTGTACAATTTGATGAAATTATGAAATAGATACAATAGTTAAGAACTTTTGGATTATATCATGAATACATACATACATTACATACATTTATTAGAACCCTAGAGGTATATCTTTTTGAGCAACAACCTATAGACTATTTTTTTGGAAAAGTGATGATCAAATCAACTTTCAGACCATTTTTGAAAAATATTGTTAAAAATTTAAAGAGCAATATGAAATACATAGGTAGAACTTAGATACTTCTATAATAATTTCAAAGGATAGTGTACCTATTTTCTTAATAAAGTTCATAGGTAGAAATTAGATACTTTTTTAATAATTTCAAAGGATAGTGTACCTATTTTTTAATAAAGTTAATTTTTTTGACAGTGTACTGGTAGTTCCTAGACCTGCTTTAGACCACTTCTGACCCCACCTCCACGCCCACTTTCCGGGCAGCTTCTTGGGCATCTTCGGGCTCTCGAAGCCAACTTTTGGCATTAACCACAAAAGTTCAGATCGGCCGAGCAGCGAACAAATTGTAGCCCCCAGTTTGCGAGTGTCTTTGTGTCGCTATGCTTTTCACACATACACATATTAAGAGGGTGTGTGTGTGTGTGCAGGCCCCCAAAGCAAACAATGTTTAATGTAGTTTTTTTCTTAATACTTGAAGCGTCGGGCGGTCGACGTCGCAGTTAGTCTCAGCACAGCCGCAACGGAGTGTGCACGCGCCTTCAGAGCTAGAGTTAAAATTAAAGTTAACGTCCACGTTAAGGAAAACTGAGCCACATTTGCCAATCCAACAACCGCCAAAAGCTTCGAATCCAAATCCCAACTAGTTTGCAGTGAATGCGAAAATTAATCTCTTCCAAATTCGATTCAAAGTTGTGGCGGCGAACGGAAAAAGCGACAATCACAAAAGAAACAAGTTGAAAATTGTCAGTTCAAAATTGTTGAAAGTGATCGATAACGATAACGAAAATCGATATAATAAGAAAATCCCGTTAAGCGGAAATTAAACTTTCTAGATCATCGAAATAAACTGATCGTGTGACTTTAATTGAACATTAGTATCGAAATAATCAAGAAAACCATCGAACTGATATCGATATAATCGAAAAAACCCAAAGTGACACTGATAACCTTCAAACTAAATATAAACCCAACGTAGCCCAAGTGAAGACAACCGAAAACGACACAAAAAACCCAAAAATAAAACCAATTGAATTTCGATAAGATCATCTCTCCCACTCACACTTTCGTTCACCTGGTCAAAAATGGATGCGCCCAAGCAGGTAAATGACAAATTTATCCCACCAAAAAAATGTTTTCGTTTGTTGTTGCAACTTTAACAAGTTAACTAGGCTAAGAGAAGGCAGCAGCAGAGAAACAACAACAAAATGTGCGTGACAAGTTGGCGGCCTGTCTTTTGTACCGCCAAAAAGTGCCACGCCCCTTGGCCCATTAATGCAAGGCGGCACACTACGGCAATGGCTCGAAAACGTGTTTACAATTTGTTTTTCTCTGTATTTGTCTCCTTTTTTATTTCAGTTTTTGTTTTTTTCCCAGTTGTCCAACTTTGGCAATTGCAAATTTTTCCCAACCGCATCATTCATCATAATTCGCGACATACCATATATTTTATTTTCTTTAAGTAGTGCATTGATCAATAGGCAAATTGCATATTTTTTGTGGCTTATTTGTTGCGGATTTCTTTGAAATGGCTTTAAAAAATATTGATCTGTAAGTGCAGCATTGCCAAATCGCTAAAGTACAGCTTAACATTTTTTGTTGGATTAAAAATGACGCCCAAATTGGGGGATATCTTTGAAAAAATGTCAGATTATGATGGTATTTTTTGCGTTTATTCTTGATATATTACCAATTGAATCATTAGACTAATTTTGAAAAAGGTCACTAAACATAAAAGTTGATTTTGAAAAATATTTAATGTCGATAATTAAAAAATTCAAAATGAAATGTAATAAATTTTACATGAGTACGTGGTTTAATAAATTTTAGCTAACTAGTCATATTTCTTTTTATAGACTTAAATTTAAACTGAAATATAAGCACTTTCTAAAATTAACAAAATCTAAAATTATATTTAAACTATTTAAAGAAAACTTGATGTTTTCATAAGTCCAATTTAATTTTGTTTAATACTTTAATACTAATTTAATACTTTGGCATCCCTAAGCAAACACAGGTATTTTTAAAGTTCTCTCGCAGTTGTATCTACTTGACACCCCATCTAATTAAACCAGAAACCAATCTCAAACTAATCCCCTCGATTCTGTTCTTTGTATATCGGTTTTTCCAATTACTTCTGAGTTGGCAATTTCAAACTGTGCCCTGCTAAATTTTATTGCTCTTTGTTCAGCCGAAAAACGTGCCTAAGAATTAAAACACAGATACAAACCCATACGGGTGCACAAGAAACTGCAAATTGCATTCGGTTATTAAAATTGTTAAAGAGAAGCAATTTTTCGGCGGCTTTCAATGCAAACTTTAATTGCATTCAATTTTGCTCCGCTGGTGTTTGTGTTTGATAACCTTGTGCAGAATTCTCGAACAAGAAAAAAACGCACAAGAAAAGCCAAAGTAAATGTTAAATGTTGGCCAATTTTTGCTCAGCCATGCAATTTTGTTTAATTTCAGAGTTAATAACAAATTCTATTAAAAGCCAATGCGGAGGTTGTTTTTTAGCACAACGGAAGCTATATAAAATTTACGTCCAAACTTCAGGGGACACGTGTCACCAGAGTAGAGCGAAATACTCGACTCAATCAAGTCGATCGCATTCCCAGACAGTTCTCCCTTCACTTTGTTGAATTTGCCACTTCAGATTTGACAATATCATATATACTATATACACGACAAAAAAAAGAGCAGCACCCACGTTAAAATCCAGCCAAAAGAATGGGGAAGCAACCGAAGCATCCAATTTGGTAGCACATAAGGCACCACAAAAAAATCTTTATAATTTATTATTGTGTAAGAGATACACAAATAAACATTTTGGAGAGTCTCCTTTTTTGTGTGTGGGGCTGATCTTTAAATCGGATAATGACTGAAACCAAAGCGGATTTGGAATTTGCCATCCAAATCCGATTCTCTTCTGGCATTTTCACTTTCGAAAAATTGAATTAAGCAGCTGGCAGCTAGAGATTATTTTATTTTAGGGGCATCTTAAAAACAAACATAGATCACAGAGGAAGGAAGTTGTTGAAAATGTTGAAATTATATCTGATCTTAGAACATGAGAAATGATCTTGAGCTTGGGAAGTGGTTTAGGTAGTGCCAATTGATATTATCTAAATTTCATATAAGTAAAGTCAACGTAAAACAAATATAAATGTTTAAAAGAAGGCTTTGTTTATAACATTACAAATATTTAACAGCAGAACTTCAAAGAATTTTTTGGAATTATTGAAACAACTATGCTATATTGTGTTACGCTTGTTAAAATATTTATTATTTTAATGTCTTTAAATTTAAAATAGGCGCATCTAAAACAATAACTAACCATGAATATAACCATAAATTTTAATATATTTTGGGGGTCTATAATTATAATGCAATTGATGACATAAATCAGTTTTTTCTATTATAATAATGTATTAAATATATTCAGGGTCTTCATTTTTATGATAAATTGTTTAAAGATTTATTTTCGATGGCTTAACACGTTTTAAACACTGTTTATTGGTATAACAATGTATTTTAGGGGTATATGTGGTATACCTAAGAAGCTTAAATACTTTTCAAATTCAAATTCCCATCAACTTTTCTATTCTGTTCCCGAACACAAGGCCTCCAGTGTCAACTGCCACACGCGAAATCTGTTAATTGCCCACCTTCATTATCCCATGCAAATCTCTGGCGCAAGGTGTCCGCTTAAAGAATAAAATCCGGCCAAGAATGTATTCCCAATGGGGCGATTGAATGATGGGTTGGCGGGGGAAATGGCCATAGATATGTGCATATTTATGGGGGATCGATTAAAAATGCCTCCACGTGCCAGCGATGAGTGGCTTTCAGAGCTCCTTAATTAATGCGCGAAATGTGTTAACCAATTAATAATAGAAATTAAGATTTTTGCTTTCAAGGAAAGGCTAAGACGAAGCCGACAAAATTAAAATTAATTAGAAGTTTATTGTGTTCAGAGGAGATATCGATTTCTGTTTCTGTTTTTTTTTTCCAATTTTTTTTTAAAGGCAGACCAGGCCAGCCAATTTGGCACCCAAACATGACTCAAAATTAGTCGGCAAGTTCCCCTTTGATCAGATTCCAGCGGTCTTGGGGATCAGCAAAAAGGTTTGCGCCTTAACCATTCGAGATCGTGAGATGATTTGACCTGACCCAGGCCTGGGATCGAATCGGGCCCCATTTATTAACATTAGAATTTCCAATGAGTGCTCCCCATCGCATGCTCATCGCACCTCGACGGCTTGTGCAACCACCCCGCACCCACTCCTCGAACTCCTCACCCAACCCCAAGAAATCCGGCAAAGTTCAGAGCATGCAATTCTCAGACTTGACTTCTTGCCACTAAAATAGAAACAGTTTTCGTAAGACGTTTTGGCCATGTGAATGCCGCCGGCGAACAACAGGCAATTTGGCGAGGTGTAACGACGGTGGCTACACTGCGGAAAAAAAGAGTTAGGCTCTCATTTTCAAACCATTGTATAAAAAATTACAGATTTAAAATTGTGGTTAGCCTAATCAAGTAAATTTTATTTTTTTAAACTCCTTTTCATTTTGCCTAACATTTAAAGATAGTTACTTTTTTAATGTTTCTTATATCTCTTCACCAATAATGCTATCTTATCTCTTTAATAAATGTTTTGCATTTAAGAACTGATTATTAACAAAAATATGATTTCCTAATATTTTTAAATATTAAGCCGGGTTAATAAAGATACTAGGATAAAGTTTAAAGTTTTAATAATAGCTGTCTTTTTAATAGATTACTTTTTAGGGTTTTAAAGCCTTATGCCTCTTTGACAATAAATGTATCACCTATTAGATCTTGCTCTTAAAGAATTATTTATAAAGAAAGTTTACCTTAAAAACTTTTAAAAATTTGTTGCAATAAAATACAACAATTTACTATAAATATAAAATAATAAAAAAAAAAATAAATAAAAAATTTTTTTTTTTTAAATCCTTTAAACTTTTGATCATTATTGATAAAGATAAAATGTAATGTGTTAAAACCACATTGCAATAAATCTGTAGAGTTTTTTAGTTTATATAATACAAAATAATTTTTACAAACTTTTTAGAAAGAATTTGTAACAACCTTGCATTTCTCTCAGTGCAAAAGCCGCAAAAAAGCGGAGATTACACGTTTTTTGTTTTAGTTGGCCCGCACTTGAGGTTGAGTTATTACACGGGTTTGTGTCTCCATCTCACCTGCTCCTCCCGCCGCCACCCTGCCACCCCCCACCCACCGCACCCCACCTGTTGTTGCTTTTGCTGTTGTCTCTTTATGTGTGTCGCCGTCGTCACACTCACAAGCAAAGGCACAACTACACACCACATGTGTGTGGCTACCTGCCTCCCTCGCTCATTTGTTTGCTTCTCTGTTATGAAACGAAATTGTGTCAAGGTCGAATTTGCATGAACACGCTAAGCGGCTAATGGGCGCTCGCAGGGGGCGGTGGGTGTTAGAGGGAGGGGCCGCCCCGATCAGCTGTTCTGCGAGAGAGCTTCGCAAATAGTAGATATTTGGCTTTACATATGTGGGTTCCAAATGATTGAAAATCAGTGATGGAAAGTATTTCAAGTACTTTTTACATGAAAATGAAAAACAAATAAAAAGCTAAACCTTAAATACATCAATTGATTTAGTTTCATATCAAACCGAGCATTTTTTGTAAAAATTTAATATGCATTAATTCTCAAATTGAAAAGGATTGTGTTTTTTCTTTTATATCCATGTATCTAGTTATAACTTTAAGCAGCTACCTCTCCCATCTCTATAACCAACCTGCTTCAAAGTTGCTAAAGTAAATAGAAAATTACGGTGAAAACAAAATAAATATTTACAACGCCCTGGAATCTAAACAGTGAGGATGTCTGGGGTTAAGTATTCCCCATGCTTACACCCCCCTTGAATTTGGACTCTGATCCACCGCCTCTCGGGGCATTTCCCATGTCAACTTTAATGGCTGTTTTTTGTTTGCCTTTTTTTTCTCAGCCTTTATTTAACTTTTGTTTTATATTTAACTTGCCAGATGTGTGAATAATTATGCAAGTGCACAGACCCCCCTTTTCGCCCTTTTCGGTATTATGTTAATTGAAGGGGACAAAAAAGCTTGTTCATTAATTAGCCAATGAAACTTAAATGATCATAAAAAGCCAACGATTTTATGTAAGATTGAAATTAAAAAGTTTTAAGGCAATCCAAAATGTTAAAAAAAAAAATGAACAATTTACAAACGAAAGCCATTAAGTAATGATTAACAGAAACTGAGATACGATTTTATGATTATTAAAGTACTTTTGGTAAATCCTAAAGTGCCTCTTAAATTAAAAAAAAATAGGCAAGAAATAAATGAATTCAGATTAACAATCTTTTAATTATTTTTAAATGAGCTGGCAAATAACAAGAGAGCTCTTTTCACAAGAAATTATGCAATTAAGACACAATCTGCTCAGAAATGACTTATGCAATCTGTCAGCCCGAGTATGCTGGACAAGAACTTCCTCTATTCAAAGTTTAATCGAGTGAAATCATTCTCTAATTGTCCGTTAGTTGCATAAATAAGCATTAAACCCATTCACGATTATAATCCCCTCACTCAGATGCATCATCATCACTCTGATTGCTCTTCTGCCTTTCACACAACATTCTCGGGTGATGAACACAGCATAAAGAACAGCAATCCATAAAATGTTAAACAAATGATATTGTTGTGTTATTAATAACTCTGATTATATGGCTATAGTCCCCCTTTTTCAACCTTTTTAAAGTGAATGATTGTCGACCACCCACGATGTCCACTGGATAAACATTGGTTTTGGGATTGTTTATCAACGGATGTAGAAAAACAAAATAAACAAGTGAGAGGTCGAGGTCATTTCTAATCATTTTTGTTTTAAATCATTTCAAATTAAATCGTTTATAAAAATGTAAAATCAAATCATTTTACTCTATTTCATATCATTTCAATTGAATGAAATCATTCCATTTTATTTAAAAGCATTGTTGTGTTATTAATAACTCTGATTCTATGGGTATATACCATCATTACACCCCCTTCCTCAACCTTTTTTAAATGACTGATTGTCGACCACCCACGATGTCCACTGAACAAACATTGTTTTTCGGTTTGTTTATCAGTTAATGTATAAATAAAAAACAAACAAGTAAGAGGTCAAGTTAAAATTAGTCATGAAAATATTCTAAAATAAATTTTAGGGAGTTGAGTGTGTCATTAATCCAAAAGAGGATGCAGAAAATTAATTATATCTATGTTGGCCAGCTAATGGCCATAGAACATTTTCACTTATAAGTAGCTTAAGCCATAAGCTTACGAAAACAAAATTTCCCACTTAATACCCACAGACAGAATCAACAATAAATTTGTCGTCGCCCGCACTCTAAATACCTTAAAATTAGTCATAATTCAGACAAAAGATAAAGCCGAAAACAAAGCGTTAAGATCATGAAAGAAATACGAAAAATAATTCGCCAAAAATGGCCAATTAATAGATTGCTATCAAAGCGGTGAACGGTGAAACAGCTGCTGTATACCGCTGGCTGACAAAATGATTTGGGCCAAGACTCAAGCAGTTGGTTGGCAACAAGAAATACGGAATCAGTTAAGAAAATGTGGGGTATAAAGCGGGAAAATACGCGGATATGGAATTAATTATGCCAAAATTATAAAAAAAACTTAAAAATATATACTTGTAAGAACTATTTGGTATCCCGTTGGGTCAAACCAGGATTATTTCTCCATCACGTACACCAGTTACTTTAACAAGGTACAAGCTGTTATATGTATATATAGTAAAATCGTAAATTAGCATCCACCAAAAAACCAAGCTAATAGCATCGATAAATCGCTCAGCACCCAGATATGCAAATGCAGCAGCCAGGCAAACAAATTGTGCGATAACCAAAGCTAATTGGAAATTCCTGCAGGCAATGGCAGGCCAAAAAGTGAAGGCAACTTCAGAGGCAGAAAAAATAAAGTACAACTGCAGCATGAATCAGGTCCGGGAACCCAGCCGGATATATTTATTTATTTATATATTGACATGCAAAGCTTAGAACCCTTGAACGATCGGCTGACGAAATGGCCGACGTAATGGCCATAAGCCAAAGACATTTATCTCCGGCCGCCAACACGACTGTCTGCACATCTCAATGGTCGGCCAAGACATTGCCAGGCCCACTGCCAACCGGTGGTTTCACCACTCGAACACTCCATGGTTCATTGGCGTCGGGTGACAAGCCCACCAGCGTCTTGGGTTATGTAGATCTGCAGTCTGGTTCGGGCCTCCAGCACAGAAACAGCGGGGAATTCCCTGCTCCTATGTGAAAAACTCGAACCCTCTCGGAAAAAAGCATGCAAAATACATATATTACTACCTATAAAGCATAATACTTGAGCTATTGATGGATGACTCACTTAGGGAAATCCGTTCATTGATTACTAATTTATGCTTGCTGGTTTTTACTAAACAAAGGGGACTTAATTTAACGCACAATTTCCGTTGATTTGTTTTAATGAACCGCATTCTTTAGTGCATTTTACACTTCCTGTGACTTTTGAATTAAGTAATGAGAGCCTGTAATAATTGAAATCAAATTGATCTATAAAGAAACTACAACTTTCTCAATGGAAAATTAAATATTACTTTAAAAACTTGTTAAAAATTGTCATTTGGGTTTCTGGTAATTAGCCATTGAAGCTGTCTGAAGGTTAAAGGGTTAATAAATTGTTTGATTTTTAAGCTTCGGGTCTTAAAAGTTATTGCTGCAGCGACTGCAGTTTATGCTTGACCTTCAAAGGGCCACAGCTTAGTCTTTTGTATTTTTTTTTGCCTAGCAACGAAAAACTTTCCAGGGGGTCAAAAATTTCAAAGCGAGTTCGTTGCCTAAGTCTTTTGTCTGAGCCAGAGTCTAGACGAATTCATGAGGCGTGACCGGCATGACGCTGCCTTTACAATATACCCATCAGCCCTGATCCCACACCCTTTCTCCCCAAAACTCCAACTGCTATAGTTATTGGGCGAAAACCAGACTCCACAAACGGCTAAAGGCTAAAAATAACAAATGTGCCGCAATTACCAGCATAAAAAATAAGTTTAGGAACAAAAAATAGACTGGCCCACGCGACCGTCAAGCGTTTGAGAACGCCCCAAAGGAATAATTTGGTGCCATAAGTAAATGTTTCTATACACATATATGTATTAGTTCAGATGTGGGAAACACTCGAAATTACCAAAAATTTGCGGCTGTCGAAACAATAATAATAAAAAAGTCTCAACAGAACCGAACAGAACAGTAGAACTCTGGCGGCAGGCACCCGGATTCATTATTTATGGCTCCCCATTGTTGTTGATTTGCTTTTTTCATACATTTAATATTTATTGATTTCTCTGCTGGACAGCCAAGACGCATTCATCACGTGCGTCATTTAACAGTTCAATTGATTTGAATAAAAAGTGCTATTTATAGAGCCTGACTGCGGCCTGGAATATTATAATAATGGGTCGCCTAGGGCATGTCCAAACTAAATTTCCCCTTTGATTAGTGATTAGTGAGTAGTGGGTGACTCACATTCTGGATGCAGAAAATGTTTGCGATTTATCTAACCACATTTGGTTTTGGGGGGCTTTCTCTTTCCCCTCGGACGTTTTTTTTTTCAACCGGTTGGTTTGCCTTCTAATTGGCAGGCAGAAACCGAAGCGGATATATGAACTGAAAGCATTTTGTACTTTCCAATTTATAACAAACAAAATTCCACATTTTAAGTTCAAACCTAAAAATCCGGTTCTGCTTTTGATGTTTGGTTCTGGCCAAACAATTTGTTACAATTTATTTTTGGCCATTAGCGCGCACTCGACCCCCACAAGGCGAATTTTTGGCAAACTGTTCCCACTGACAGTAATTTATGAGTTTAATTGGTAATTAATTAAGTGAGGCATATGATCGCATGACACAGTGCCACCCACATGGACGATGATTAGTGGGGATTGAGCGCTCAACTATCCCAAAGCCATCTCCTTTGGCCTCCACCCCATTGCGATGGGGAACCATTCATTAATTGGAGTCCGCTGGCATTGTTCGACTGCTTCTTTTTCTACGGCTTGTTGAACACGGCTCGAGAAACGTATTATCTAATTAATGATCTACGAGAATTAACAACTAAACGGGGCGTATCAGATGTCTCTACTTCCCCTAGGTTTTCAAAAGCTAGAGATGGAATGGGACTCTTACAGTAGCTAAGTCATTCCCACTGTATATATTACCGAACCAAACTTGCCAAAACAAAATATATCTAATTCCAATCATTTAAAATAATCTATTTAGATTTTATAACCTTCCTGCGTGTCACGCTTTCATCTCGAACATAAAAATCACGGCGCGTGGCTAATGAAATACGCAAAACAAAAGCTTAAAAGGCAAAACAACCAATTAGTTGCCAAATTAGTCGTAGCCATTAAAAAATTGCTTAGCACTTTACAAATTATACAAAGGCTATATCTTAACATATCGACATCTAAACTATTTATTAAGACAGACACACTAAATTTATGATCGGCTTAGGGAAACGACTACAAGATTTATCAGATCATTGACCCAGAGAACTACTGAGAAGTTCTCATCTGAATTTGGGTGTGGACGAGTGCCCAGAGCCCAGAACCGTTAAAGATAAGTAAAGAAATTCCTTCCAGTCCAGTTCCACGATCCACGATCATCATGTTCAGGTCCAATAAATAAATTCAATTTAAATTCATTTTAAGGGGAAGCCGTAAAACGGGCGAAATTACCGCCATCATTTGCAGAAGATCAAGCTGGTTTTTGTCCAGCCTCCTACTCCAATGATCGATTTTTTGTTTGGTTTGGCCTGTTTTGGCTTTCACTAACTAGTTGGCATTTGCATATTGAAACATTTTAAAATGCCGGCTTTTTCGTTTTAGATGTTGTACCTTATACAAATTATTTGTATTTTGCTTGCATTAGTTTATTGTGTGATTGGAAAGATGGAGAAGAATTCACATTTCAAATGCGAAAGAGTGAGAAGAGTGCGAAAGCGAAAGTTATACAGATAGGGCAGAGAATGTAGAACTAATTGAATTTGCACTTGGAGAAGTCCATCTCAGGATGCTGCTGCTTGAATCTGTAAGGGAAGAAGTAGTACATTAATAAGTTGTATATTGAATAACCTATTCCTAATATTCTAACACGTACTTCTCGAGAATGTCCTGCTTTTTGCGATCCTCACTGGTGGGCAGACCCATCTCCTTCTGCCGCTGATCGTACATCATCTTCTCCACCATGCTGCGCGTCTCGCCATCCAGATCAGATAGTTTCGACGACTCTGGATTGATCTTGCGCGTAGATATCTCCGGATCGGTTGTGACCAGGCGGCTCCACCAGTTCATCTTGTTGATCTTATCCAGGGTGATCATCACGGTTTTGCTGTCTTGCAAGACCCACACGGACTCCTCCTGCTTCACCTCGGCGCACAGCTCGCCATCGATGATGGGCTCTTGACCTTTGATGCCCACCTTCAGGGTCTTCTTTCCAATGCTGACCACCAGATCACGGGCACGAAGAGCGAATGACACGTTGAAGGGAATCTTGAGCTGCAGAGAGAAAAATATTGATACATTAGATTGATTTTGCAAACTGAAGTTCTTGATAATTCAAAAATGAATATTCGAAAACTGTGGTATTTAGACATATTAAACTTAAAGATTATGGTTTTAAAATCATATAAATAGCTTTTAATTTTCCTTAGTGTAATGCAAAAGCCATTCTGTTAATGACAATCAAACTAGAGTAGAGTGGATTGGATTATTCAGGGGTTCTTCATGTAATCAAGCTTGGAGTGGCAGGTCTTGTGATTAATGATCGGATGTGTGTGTAGATCTACGGAGATTCTTTAGCCAGACTTTGCTTTGGTCATTGCACAACCTTGGCGGGCTAATAACGATCTCTATAAATAACCAACTGCAGGGGCACGTCTCTGCAACCAACAATCCAACAATTCAACGATCATATCACAGCTGCCAGATCTCTGCCCTTCACCAGATCAACGGATCGAGTCTTCCTTTGTTCAAGGACCCAATGTAGAACGGGAATTTAGTTCAGCTGCCAGTTCAAGGACGTACAGCGGTTCTTCAGGTCCGGTTAAGGGAGTTAGCTTCGATTCTTCAGCCTCGCAGCGATGAGCTCTCAAGAATGTCGCTCAACAGGTTGCAGCAGAAGCTACACGCCAAAATATACTGATATATTTAAGAGATTTATTTTGAATTTGGGTTATAAAAATGTAATCAAATCAAACCAAGATTGTAACTTGGAAAAAGGTACAGATAACTTTAAACCTTATAAAAATGATAGATTTATTAAATACTGACTTCAAAATAATCCCCAATTTCTTTCTGTGCTAAGAAGTGAAGCAACCTGCGCATGGATTGTGGATATGTGGATATGTGGCTGCTTGGCCAAGTTCACAGCAATTACACTGGCGTCTAGAATTATGTGCCACGGCTGGCCATTAATTATAAATCGCACGGATACATGCATACATTAACACCTTTCCCATTAGCTCGCAGCATAATTAAGGCCCAGAGTTATTAGACAACTGGCTGTGCAATCAATTAGCGAATCGCATGTGGCAGAAACAATGAGGGGTAAGGTGGTAAGCCTTTAATTTAAATCTCACGACACCGCATCCAACTGAACCAAGGACGCTTTCGTTCGGCTCACGATAGTTTATAGACTATCTAGTGGTATAGTATGTATCCATAGTGTTCGTGTGGGTAGTCAGCCAAGGTAGTAACACTTGGAGTTCTTCTGCCCGGAGCACGCGGCACGTGTCAACAGAAGCTCACAGATCTCAGCTCATGTGGGTGGCATCTTCATCAGCAACGATCGGTGGTAAAAAAAAAATGTGTCAAAAGCTGAAACTGAAGCGGATGTCAATTGGAAACATTGAATTGTACGCGGATGTAAGGCAGCTACAAAAATAGCCTCAAAGAGTCAGAATAAGAAAAAATGCCTGGAGACGTGGGCAATGCGGCAAATTAAAAGCTTGGCAACAGAAAAAGTTCATTTTAAAGGTTTGCAGCCATTTATCTCAAGAAATAAGAAAAGAATTCTTGCACATAGCCAATTATTCTGCAGAAAAACTAATCTATCGCAATGTTTTGTGTTAGAATATGACCATCTGATTTGTTTTCCTTTCACTTACAAACACTTAACGATATAGTGGCTAAAAAAACTGTTTTACAGAACAGTTTGGATTTAATAAGAAGGGTTAATGTCTGAAATTCAAAATATATTCTTATGAATGGCGCATTTATTAAGAGACAAGCAATCTAATAAATGCCCAAATGTAAATGTAAGACTTTGTTTTGGAACCTAGTATTGGTTTAAAATTAATTAAGTAAATGTAAGCTTTCCCGAAGTCTTGAAAACAAAACCCATTCTGCATTGCTGAAGGTTGTGCAAATAGCAAGTCAAAGAACACTATGCTCGAAAACTAGGAAATTTACACAAATCACAAGTCAGCAGAGTCGCAGACACCTATGGCTATTAAACCACCTGAGCAGGTGGGATGGATACCCATGCAAATGCTGAGGTTTGAGGAAAAACAATAGACTCTGCGCAAAATATGAGGTATGAAAATGAAGTTGAGATGTGCCACCAAAAAAAAAAGTAAACACAAAGCTCAAGAGTCACCCCAGTCAAAGTCAGAGTTCGCTTTTGAGTTCAGACAAGCATAAAAGGAGTCGTTCGTGAATGAATTAATGAATAATAACAAATATTGATGACTGCGACGACGGCAGAAATAAAAAAGGAAAAAAAAGATATTGAAAAAAATCACGAGACTTGGCACACTTATCCAAGTGAGAGCGGAATCGCAGACGAAACGTCTGACAGTGGGCGATTTTATGCAAATCGATCTGGCCAATCCTAATGTTAATGTTAATTCCCGGCCTGGCTGCACGTTAAATCGCCAACCAGTTAATCGATCATTCAAATCCACAGAGTTTTGAACCAATTCGCCCCGCTTCTCTCTCTGTAAAGTGAAAGACATCTTTGTCTGCAGCCGTTTTAAACTGTTATTTGTTGCTATTTCATTTGCTGCCGCATCTGATTAATTCTATCAAACTTGAACAGCATTTCATTTTCTTTAAATATCTAGCCGCGAATAATTTATGCTAAAAGATGCGATTCGGTGCCAGGCACCACCAAAAAAATTAAATAGGAAAAAAAAGAACGGTCGCAACAACAAATGTGGCGTAGAAACAACAAACCAAACCGTCCATTTATACAATATAAAAATCGAACAAAAAAAATCAAGCTTTTGTTGATGGAGTCGAGTGCTTTAGAAGTGTGTATCTGCCGAGTGTTTTGTATTCGATAATGTTATCACACAAAACAGCTGAGTCCTCCTAGGGAACTTGGATGGGGGGTACAGTGATTAGTCTAGAACATTAAAACTTCCTTCAAACTAAAATTAAGAAAAAAAGTTATAAAATTTACCAAAAGTACCAGTTTCCTATGCTAAATAAATTGTAATATAAATTTTGTAATTAACATTTTCTAAATGAACCTTTATCCAAGTGTTTATCTTTACGAGTGCCCACTGCCAGCTCATTAAAAGCGGCTTAAACTTGACTTATTTGTGGCCAGAAGTGGAGTGGACCCCTAAACATCTCAAGACAGAGGTAGATGGAACCGAAATCGAGCGTGGCAAATTCTTATTTTTTTATTCCTTTCCCTTTAGAATTGTTTTGCGTTTAAATCTGAAACTAGTTCCTATTGGGAACGGCGCTCCAATCCACTCTACTGCGATCCAATGCTCCATCCCCCAAAAAAAAACAAAAAACCCGGCGTACAATGAGCTCTCGAGTGGGTACAATAGAATCCGTATTGACATTTGCATGGTAAATGAGATTTGAGAGATCGATCTGGTAGCCATTTGTTTGCGCCATAAGCGGATTACAAAACAAATGATACTGAAAACTCTATCCGGTTAACCTAATAAATTTCGGGGTATATCCCATATAATGAACTCTATACGAACTTAATTCTGGTGAGAAATTAGATCTTTTTGATATGATATCAAAACTTAAACTGTCATCTTAAATGGTTTTCCCATATATTAAAATCACAAAAAAGTAGAGAAGCTTCGAGAACAATAATATAATGGAAATCAGTCTTATAGAAGACATTCGATAGCTTTGAAAACGTAAGCCTGTTTTTAAAGTCTCGCTAATTGGGGAAGTATAAGAACTTTGTTTCATAAGTAGTTCTACATATCCCACAAATTGATTAATGTTTCGAAGAACTGTAAAAGCTTTTTGCTTATATACTGCTTTGTAAAATATTTGCATATTTCATACACAAGATAATATAATTAATTTGGTCACCATGCCAATAAATTACCAAAATCGAATTTAAATTAGTAAAACTTCTAGGAAAACCAGTCAATCGAAGTTCTAGGATAAATGGTTATTTAAAATCTGGAATAAATTAAGAGAAAATTTATTTCAAATACTATATATGACCTGAATTCAATAATAAATTCCCTACCAGGAAACCGAAAACGGATCTTAAAAGCGGTTAATTTACTCAAAGGCTTTGTCAGGTTGTATACATTGTTCACACTTTGTTTGGGCTTCCATTCCACAAATTTTGAGCCCCAACAATGTGGATTTTAGCTTGATTTATAGGGGAAACCCATTAAGAAGTTTTATAAGCTAAACAGGTGTGAAACGGACAAATAAAATATCAGTTTCATTTATATAACCAGCAATTAGATGTTGGCAAAATCGGCAATATAAATTCAATTGTATATAGAACCGATACGTAATACCACTTTTATATGATGAGATGTTAATAAAGCATTTATTTAGTATTTCCGCTTGCCTGGCGAGTGAGTCAAGTTTATAAGAATTTCGCAAGGAATTCGGCATTAAGTTAAGATTCTGTTTATTGAATACATATATCACCCGAGGGCAAAATACTCAAAACGTTTTCTATACGAAAATTAAGCTTTAATAGCGACAATCAGAGAAATACTGGCCGCAGGCCCCACAAAAATAAGCGTGGCAAACGTCAACGGATCTATCCATCTATAGCTCTAAGGGATTTCCCCGTTTACCACGACAATGCCATCAATTCTCACAGGTATTTGTTTTCTTTCTTTGCTAATCCCCAATTGTTGTCACCCAAAATGGAACAGAAATCGCTGGACAACGTAAGATCCGTCCGTTTGTCATTGGGGATCGGCGTCACTGGAAACTATTTTGCATTCTTAATTGTATGCATAAAATCGAAAAGATCGTCGTTTGTTTGTCTTCGGTTTTTATATGGTGATATTGGCGATGAGGTGAGGTGAATGTTGTTGATTCTATTGGGGGAATGTCTCGGAATGGTTCGGCCCGAGATCTATAGCAAGTGTTTGGCTCCCATTTGCCATCAACCCATCTCTTTAAGTGGCGACGTCCCTCAATCTTCGCCTTTTCAAGTGATCTCAAAACACCGCCTGATTCTCTTTCGATTTATATATACAATTTTTTTGTGTTGTTGCTAATGCGATTCGCGTTCGGCGGAGTCCATTGCCACTGCTCTGGTAACTGGCCGTGTCAGGTAATCTTTGTCAACTCTCCGCTGATTAAATCGACCAGAGTCGGCCAGCACTTCACCCATACCATCAAGAATATATCCCATAAAAAAACTGTTGGAACTGGCGGCAGGCCACTCACTTGTCTCACTTAAAAGGTGATAACAAGATGCTCGACAGCAAACGAAGCAACAAAACTGATGGCCGACAAAAAAAAATTAGAAACATTTGTTGCCTTTTGCTACCGAGAATGACAGATGGAACTCTGCGTATTAACCCAAAGTAAACAAATTTGTAATAGAAATGTTGGGGTTCTTTGGCAATTTATTATTTGCTCAAGCAATTCCCACAGGGCGTCATAAGTCTAATGGTATAATAATATGAGATCAGTGTTGGATTAGACAGAAAGACAACTAGCCGAAATCAATAACAATCGTTGGGGATTTTTGGCAATTTGTTTAACTAATTCCGCCAAGAGAAACGCAAACGTTTTTTTGGGTTATTCAAAACTATAATTTATTAATGGAAATTCAAAATAATTTGTTTTCTAATGACTCATGGTTTCTAAATGAGTCAATAGGCAGAAAAGACTTTCCGAATGTTCTTAATATTCAAAGAGACATGTTTAGCATAATGTGATTTTAAAATCACTGTAAGGGAAAACTTGATTAGGCATTAGCTGAAAGCTTGTAAATCCACACCTAGGATCATTTCAATTCATTTTTTTTTAATATTCGATCTTGTTACTTTGTTTGGATCATTGACGTTAAATGCTTTCTTAGAATTCCAAATTTACCAAATATAGACTTTGGGACTTTTAAATAATGGCCATATTATTTATAAGACCATAAACCGTTGATTTAATAACGAAACACGTATTAATCAAACATTAATGGGATTTGGAAAAGATGTTACAGCATAGGGGCGGGATCTAACTGCAGGATGGCCAAGGTTTGCCCTCAATTAAGTTAACATTATATTATAATTAGGTTTTCCCGCAATCAAACCTCAATTTCTGGGATGCCGAAACGGATCTAGAAAACGCCCACACGCCGAAAACGATTAAGGGCCCTTCACTGAAGATCGGGAGAATCAGAAATACCCAGCACAAAAAAACCGAATTGCAGCTTAATAAGCAAAAGGGCGGGAAGCTTAAAAACAGAATGGTCAAAAGAAAGTAGGCAAATCATTCGATGAGCTGATCAAGTCAAGACGAGCAGTCCAAACATCAAAGCCGGTAAAAAACCTATCAAACATCATCGAATCAGAAGAATGGAGGCAAAAAGTGGCCGATTGTTAGGAACTGTATAAATATACCCACAGTGGGTGATGTGTAAAAAGAATTTTAACCACAAAAAAGAAAGAACTCAAGTCAATTTATTACAATTTTCTACAATCTCTATTACGAAAGCCAATTAATGTGAAACTATGAACGTAATCGACCTTTTTAAAGACCAGTCATACTACAAATTAAATCATTAAATATACGTTCCATACGATCATATTCGTATTTCTACGTGTTTTAGGTAAAATAATTTAAGTATTATCAAAAAGACTATTTTTACCAACATAAATATTTATTTACAACAATATATACAATTCTATAATATAGAATAACTGATATAACATAATTAGAAAATTAAAATTGTTTCAAGATTCAATTCAATTTATTATCATTAAAATATATTTAAAGAATTAACCTTTTCAGAATCTCCAAGGAAAGTTTTGTAACTTATCTAATCATTTAAATATTGATTTCTAATGTCAGATAATACTATTTTTCCCTTTTTTTTTAAATCTTGTGGTAAAAATGTATAGGCTTTCCCTAATTAGCGAGTGACTACTGTTGCAGCGACAACAAACGAGAACCGTCGAAATGTTATGACATGCAAAATCCGGCAAGAAAGCCAGCAACAACAAACACTTACACTCGAAAAGGTTTGCGCATCGCGCCGTTGACGTCGACAGAGCCACCGGCAGCGACGTCGCGCCTCTGCCCAGGTGGGCAGAACCCAGGTGAGCAGAGATCTTACCTGTGAGCCCGACTTAGCCACTAAGCTCGCTTCAGTTCGATTCTTGAGGCCGTTTAGATCGGTTCTGTTTGGCGATACGCGCACTGAAGAATTCTTCGCTACGAGAAGAAGACGTGAGAAGACGGAGCAGAAGGAGAATTCCGAATACCGCCACTGAGATACGAGAAGAATTGCGAAAAGAATCGTTTCGGTTTCCCCAAACAGCAGCCTGATCAGCTGAGTGTTTCGCGAGCCGCATTTAAATAAATTATATACCATATATACACATTGTTAAAAAAAAAACCCTAATTAAAGAGACTGACAACCGGAGCGAGACTCTGCTTAAAAATACTCCAGATTGTGATACTAATTACCTTAAATTGTGTGTGTGATAAATTACTGTAATAATCAACAAACAAATCCTGAGAACAAAACAAACAGAAAATTGCAAATTAACAAATGTAAGTAAAGTAACAAAGCCAGACGACACATTAAGTAAACCAAAAATAACACTGTGTGAAGTAAAAACGAATCGAAAACTGGCCAATCAAGTTGAATTAATAAAGAGTGATAAGACTTCCGCATGCCTAAATAATATTTACAATAAATAAAACCCAAGAAGCAGCACGAACAAATTTATTAACTTCTGTGCTGTGTAAAACAAACGCACAAAACACACAAAAAAGTCATCAAACAACACAGGCAAACAAAAGACTGAAGGCAGGAACTTGAATTGCAACTTTTGTGCCAAAGTCACATTTAATAGAATTCTTATATTTATTGGGAGGACAATTGAGTGCCACAATTACGTCAAAGGCACACAATCGGCGAAGCCATTTAAAGAGAAAGGCCCGAGATATAAAAGCTTGCCCACAGTAAAAAAAAACTGTCGACTAGCCGAATTAATAATAAATACAAATCAGGCTTTTAGCCAACCAAGACCAGAGACCATAAATATCAAACAAGTTGCCAACCAATGCAAAACAAAGACAAGCCGAAACTCAACTCGAAAGTTCAGGTTTTGTATATTGGTTTCGGATTTGGATTTCTTCTGACGCTAGCACCATCGAGTGACAGGAAAAAGGGGAACAGAGATCGGGGGCCAGGGAAGACATAAATGTGTAGATATTGTGGAGCAGATCGGATGTTCCAGATCGTGACACGATCACAGGCTTAGGATATATATACTGATTTTCCTATGAAAAGATCAACAGGTCAAAAAAGAAACATAAATAGGCTTTAAAAAGTTTGAAATGGACAGGATGTACTGAAATAATGCCAGTCTGTTTCCATATGTTCTGCATTCTTAACCAAATTTCTATTGATATGACTATGGCATCTATATGTAAATTTTTCAAATGTAATATTTACAAAGCTACAGTTTGTTTAAGGGTGTTTAAGATGGAATGTATAAGATTTCAAGGAATCTAGGTTTTAAACTCCAACGACCTTTTCTTGTTTTATAAATCTTACCCTAAAAGTAGCTTATAAAATTGTGAACTTCTATGTACATCTTTTTGAAATTCTATGACAACAGCTGGTAAAAATAAAGTCTAACCAACTCCATTTCCTCCCCTTACAGATGCAGGACTATTGGCACATTCCACGCGCCTCGCTGGCCTCATCCTCGAGCTCGGCCATCAGTTCGGCCAGCTCCTCGAAGTCCTCGAACAAATCGCACTCGAATCCGCCCACCCTCAACCAGCGCAGTTCGCCCAGCAACAGTAGCAATATTAACAACAACAATAATAATAATAATAATACAAGTGCTGCTGTTACGGCGGCGGCAGCGGCGGCGGTACTGGCGGCTGCCAAGCGGGGATCGAGGAGTTCGCAGGGCTCCAGCGACAGTAACAACAGCACACGGGTGAGTAAGCCGAGCCCACGCAGGCTCCGGTTCTGGAGAGCCGCAACCACCTCGAGCAGAGTGACTCAACAAACATTCTCCTCTTTCCATTCAAATTCATACAGAGCGCTGCTTCCGGCTCACTGCTGCTGACGGCAGCGAATCTGGAACGCTTCGCCGAGATTCACAAGAAGCAGGAGCGCCACAACAAGATGCTGATGCCCAGCAATCCCTCGTCGTCCAACTACAATGCCAACCTAACGCTGGCCAGCGCTGGCAAGGATGCGGTGATCGCCATCGAGGGTCAGCAGCCGGCCGAGGTGGATCCCAATTTGCAGTATGTGAAAACCAAAGACCTGGACACCGTATCCATCGCCAGCTCCATGCACTTCACGATGGTCAACGGCGAGGGTGGTCCGCCCAAGAAACCGAAGCGCGGTCTCTGCGATCGGGGACGCCAGGTCACCGTGTTGATAGTGAGCATGAGCACCATCTTTATGCTGCTCATCATGGGCATGGTCTATGCGCTGGAGAGTAAGTTCTTCGAAATAACCAGCTCATCCAACTAGATTTTAATAATCGTTTCCTTTCTCTTACAGTGCGCGCCCGCGACATGCCCAAGAGCTAGGACTCGATTCCTCTGCCTAGCCAATTAGTTTATTATTTATTGTATTGTCTTTGTCCCCATCATTATTATTATTATTATTATTAATATTGTTATCGTGTCGTCTTGGCGCTAGTTGTGTAAGCTATTTATTAAACGATTGTTTGGATGGAGAGTCGAGTCAGTCGAAGCTGGGAAAATTAATTAGTATTAAGCGCGCTATGCTATGGAGACAGAGAAACATACAAGGAACTAGATCTGGAGCGGATCGGATAGTCGCCGTCTGGTATCGGATAATGCTGTACTTTCTGGTTAGCAATTAAGTTATTTATCCCTGTGATATGTTTAATAAAGTGAATTTTGTAATTGTACACGAAGGGTTGATGAGTCACACCTGACGCAGGGTTAATGACCGGGGTTTCTGGGGTTTTTCAGCTATGACCGCAGCCTAGCAACCAGAAATGTTGGTAATTTACTATGGAAAATCAAGTGATTTGGTGGGGGAATGAGGTAAAGCAATCAAGATATTCTCATTGGGCCAAAATTTTGTTAATGAAATCGGATTAAGTTGATTAATGAGAGAATTAAGATATTATTTAACTCAGCTGACAACACTACTATATATTCTATAGCCATGACAACACCTCACTGTGTCAGCATGGAAGAAAAAGTGGATGAGGGCCACCCCAGGCTGGACTTACCTCCACCTCCTGCAGTGTCTGTGTCCAGGTGTACTTCTCCAAGGTGCAACCATTGCCTAAATTCGGCATCAGCTTGCCCAGCTCGCTGTTTTCGGTCTCATGGTCCACTTCCTCGATGGGCTTGGAGATGTCATCGGGAAGTGAGGCAGCCGGCTCTCCGCCAGCGCCATCCAGCAGCTGTTGGCGTTTTCTGGAAGGGATTTAAGTGTATCAATAGGTGCATGAAAGGTAAAATGTGACTTATTTACAAAAACTCCGTGTTTTAGACATCGTAAGAGACGTACAGTATAGTCATGAGATACAATAATGAACAGAAATCGCAATCTAACATAAATAGTATACAAAGTGAAAAGAGGAAGGTCGGATAGGCTTTCTATCTGGACTATTATGGGTTATATCACGATTTTTAACAGTTGATGTTTTAGTAAATGCTCTCTTTTCCATCCCACATACTTGACTTCCTCCTCCTTGATGATGGCCGCGGCCTCCTCATCGGTGATATCACATATTTTGTTGTCGTCGATCTCCTTTTTGCGGGCCTCCCTTTCGGCCCTCTCCTTTTCGTCCTTCAGCCGCTGGGAGGCCTCGCGGGCCTTGAGCTTCTCGTTGTGGTCACTGATCGCCAACTTGGACTCCTTGGTGAAGACATCCAGCAGGAGTTTCTCCCACTCGGCCTGCTTGGCCCCGGTGAAGAAGTCCGTCTTGCGGCGCAGAAAACTGGCCAAGGTGCCCAAAAACTATATGAATAATACAGAAAAAGCGAAGATTTAACAAAACCGAAACAAAGAAGTGGCGCTCTTTGTTATTGTTTTACCTCGGGCACGCCGCCGCGATGTTTTTCGGCCACGGCCAGCAGGATATTGTCGAACTGTCCTTCCTCGGCAGACATTTTATAGAGTATTTGTACTGTTGGCAAATAAAATTCGTTTGTTTTCTGGACGCTTCGATTGGATTTTTTTATCTGAAGTTTTGCTGACGACCCGGCACATGTACCAAACAGTATTACCTTTTTGCCTAAAAATACCAACTTACTGGAGAAAAAATACCAAGCTATTGAAGTCAGCTTGTGACAGTGAGCAATGCTCACTGAGCATAGTAAATAGTACAAAATAAGTTGTAATGATCATATATTGGAAACTATTACGCTAACTAATATTATTAAAGTTGTTATTCATTTTCAACTAATCTTGTTTAAAAATATCAGGTACACAATGTTATTAATTTTAACCAAGCATACTTATTATTGTAAACAAATTGTTACCTCAATAAACCCCAAACAAACCCAGTCCGGAAACATCAGATTAAGTATCCAAGTATTCCCATCATGTCTTCTTATATATTCTCTCTCGAAAGTCCCTATTCCCTATGGAGGATCCCCGAATAAACACCATCGTAAAAATTGAAGTGCACATTTAGGAATGTCGGAAGGGCGGGAACTTATACTTTGTGCACAAGAAAATAATTTCTGTTTTTTAAATTTATGCAACTTATAACGCTTGTCAGGTTGATATTTAAACGACCTTAAAAGATTGATTGATATCATCAAAATTAGCCGTTATTTCTCTTACTTCCACTACAAAGGAAAGGTTCTTGTCTTTACTAACGACGTAAACAAAACGTAACATCAAGTTTTCTAAACCGTTGCGAATGCGATTTTCGTCCTACTCTCATTCTCACTTCGCCCTCTCGCGCTCGCCGCTCTGAGCGCAAAGCACGTCTGTTCCGTTGTTCCCTCTCTTTTTTACTGACACTTACGGTTGCTTACGTTTAGCCGACTTACGTCGTACGTACTTACGTTGTGTCTCCTTTGTACACTGAAATATGAAATAAATCATCCGCCACCGAAACAAAAAAAATGATCCTACTGTCCTACTGGTTTGACTCAACAAGCGAATGCGCAACTTATAGATCATAGAAGAGAAATCCTTAAACTTTTTCTGGAATCTTTGCTGAAAGATCATTATAAAACGAATATAGATATAAAAATGGAAATAAATAAGCGTAAAATTAAAAATAAGGTGTTTAGTTAAGAGACTTCCAAAAATATTAATAAATACAGCCCATAAGCCATAAAAATAGAAAAAATAATTCAAATGCCGAAACAAGAACTTTCCGGTCTACCGTACTTTTCTGATGAGGGAGTTGGTGTCTCCCGAAACTGTTGTTGCTTAGTTACTTTCTTCTTACTTTTACTTAGTATTTATTTAGTATTATGTATGTATTATGTAGAGAGAGAAAATTCTCACTCGGCGCTTCATATTCGTTCGCAGTGCGCCTCGTCCTATTCTCTCATTCTCATTCGGTCTTTTGAAAAAAGCGCACGTATTCTGAAATCGCGGAAAAGTCAGAAAGTATTCTAAAGCAAATCGAAGTGGAAGTGCTTAAAGCCAGTGGAAAAGTGAAAAACTCCAAAGTACTTGGTTTTGTGGAAAGTGCAAAATACGGAAATTAGTGCAGTCAATCGGTTTATCAGCAAAGTTAAAAGTAAATGAATTGCAAAAAATGTGTGGAATTCCTTTTTGCGTGGCTTAGAAAAATGTGATATGCAAATTACTTAACACACACATACGATACGAACCTAGCGTGCTTGATATTTACAAAAGGTTAAAGAAATAGGAACAAATATGTAGGGAAAAGAGATTAGGGTTCCGAACTCTCCAATTTCCCACTCTGTCTATTCGAAATTCCCGTAGGAGTTCTTCTGGAAAATCAATAAATTTTTACATGGCGCACAGAAACACGTACACATATAAACGAGAGGGAGTGGGGGAAGAAGAAGCACAGCCAGGAGAGCAGAAGCTCCCACACCATAACTTACAGTGGGGGGTATAAAATTAGCTGCAGTTTGAGCTCTTAATTTATGGACACTTAAAAGTGTTGATCCATGACAAGGAAGGGTTTTTTATTTGCTACTTGTTACTTTAGTACTTGCTTAAAGTCATTTCGGTTAGAAAAGATAGACTGTTTTAAGTTTAAAATGTGTTTACTAAGATTCTGTTTGAATTAATGTGTGTTTTATTTGATTATAATAAAGGTATTTTAGGCAGTATGCATTTTATTTATGTATGTTCTCATCCAGCTGTAAATAGTTTCAACTTTGTTTAAAAAAATAAAAAAAATTATATAAATAATATCTTTAAAATGTGAATTGTCCCTAACTTATGTTCAACATTAAATAAGGAGGAAAATATAAATAATGAAGAAAGTCTATTTTAAATTAATGACGTACTTAAATGTCCTTGACTGTAATTTGCCGCCCTGCCGCAAGCTTCCCGTTCTTGTTCTTGTTTTTGCCGCTGCGAAGTTCTCTTCTCGATTGTGTCCCCACCCCTTTCGCCACCTCTTCCTGCTCGTTGACTATTTTATGGACTGTGCCTCTTGCTTGTTTCGCTATTTACCCCCTCTGCCCGAGCCCCTGCCCCTGCCCCACCCCCTTTCACTCCACTGCAAACATGTGCGATGCAGACAGCTGCTCCTCTCTCCCGCTCGCTCCGCTTCAAGGTCAGAGTAAGGTTAGCACCGCTCCGCTCTGCACCGAAGGGCCATGGCAGTGATTTCTTCTTCACCGCTCCACTGCTTCCCCCCTCATCCACATATCACATCTCCATCTCGCAAAGAACAGTGGCGGCTGAAAGGCTACGGCCACCGAATGCCGCAAATTGTTTTGCCTAATTGCCGCATCAAAATTAATGACAGCCACTGTGTGTCTGTATTTGTGCTTGAATGTCCTTTCATACACAGAAAAAACTTGGCAATATAATTTGATTCAATATTTAAATAGAACAAATATCACATAAAAATCATAAATAGTATAATTTTTTAAAAGAGCTTAAAATAGTAGTCATTTTTTAAAAGCATTGAAACAATATAATTTTAAAGACTTTAGGAGTAAATGAAAAATAAGTTTTTAATTTGCGAAGTGATTGTAAGTAAATTAAAATTAAGTACCATAGATTGAAATATATAAAATATCAAGAATGCTTTAGTTCATCTTTTAACCTCTTAATTTTTTCTTAAACTCTTTTTATATAACAGAATCTTTTCTTTGAGCGGGTACGTTTCACTTCAATTGATTTAATCGATTTAATATTTATTTACTTTCATGAATTTATAACCTTAGGTGGCAAAGTTTTTCCCTACTACGTCATTGCCCTTTGACATTTAGACTTTCTCTCTGCGTGGGTGGCAGCTTCCAAGTTTGCTCTCTGAGCCACAACCGCCCACCCGGTTTTCTCCCTGACATAACAGTTATGTAATCAGCACGGCATTTTGTAATTTGCCGCAGAGAGAAAGGCTTTCTCAATTGGATTGCACTTGAATTTAAAGGATAGCGTTCCTGCCTTTGTTTCTTTTACCCATTTGTGTGCCAGCACTTAAAAAGGATTGTGTGGAACTGAGTGAGCAAATAAAAGACCGTAGACAAAGGACTTAAGAAAAGATTGTGAAAGATTCCCCGGAAGTGCGAACCAAGCATCCTCATACGGCTAAGTGCGTTTAGGGCTCTTTTTGGGCTTATCACGGATTTGTCAAGATGATGTGCCAAGCTAAACATTCTAGTTCTAAATGAGAAGTAAGAAGAGTAGTTATACTAATGGGAATGCCTTCAAATCACATTCTTTATCCCCCTTGAAATGGGATATATTTTGCGGTCTCGCTTGAACTAAGGTGGCGCCGCAAGTTTGGTTTAATGGTTCAGTGAATTTCCAAACGGAAAACTTTTCAATTGCGTCGCAGCCTCTAAATTATGTGATCGGGAATTGTGGGGGATATATAAAGCAAGTGCCTACACCAATTACGAAAACATGACAATCAGTACCCTCTTGGCGAGGGTTCCCAAAAAAATAATTTCTTAAGGTTAACAGACATGACTTTGATTAGTTCAATAAGAATATTAAAATAATATAAAATAGCCGAATTTATTCGGTAGATAAGATCTACAACTCATAGGAACACAATGGTCCAAAAATGTTTAGCTTAATAAATTTTTTTTTATAGATTATAAAGCTGAAAGATGTCTTTAAAAGTAAATGCCTTTTGTAAGGGTATATACAAAATGATTACAATTGCTAGATTGAATTAATTTATTTTGAATTGCCATTATTGACGTACCCTTAACTTTTAAACAATTATATACTTTATACTTTGATTGATTTTTCATCGCCAGGATTACTTATAGTTTGGTGGTACGCTGATAACCAGGTCCCGAGGTCTCTTATTGCAAAAAGCTAAGAGAAGCACTCAGAGAACCTGGTAACCCTTTATCAGCTCCCCGCTGCAATTTACTTGGATTCGATTTTCTTAATTCTAGTTATGAAAACACGATGGATAATGGGGCTCTGAAAGGGCAGGGCAACCTACCCCAAAGGTGCAACCCATCCCAACCGCATACGGTCATTGTAAACTAATGCAAATTGCGACGTTGCTTGTTTATTGACTGCAAACTGTAGTCTCCTCTTAATTAGCGGCGGGAGGGGTGTGGAGAAAGGTATTGGGGTGGTGGGGTACTTTCCGCACCTATGCCATAAATAGCAGCCAGCTGCGATAAATTTCTCGGGACAGACAGGAATTTATGGAGAAAATAAACTGAGAAACTGGAAACTTGTTCAATGCTAAATCATACGTCTATGTTATGAGTATTGGAAGTGGTCTAAATATTTATTTGAAAACCTATATCTTTTCAGTTTAATACCCTAAGAAGAAATTTTTAGAAAGTAAGATGATTCGCTTTCAATCATACTGTTTGACGTCTTAAAATCGTAAATGTGAACCTCATAATAAATAAACATTCATACTTGTGGAATTTCAAGTAAACCGCAAATTGTATTTCACTTTATATGACAGATTGTGTTTCTTGAAAGTGTTTGCGCCTTTAATGGTATAACTTGAGATCCTGGAAAGAAATTGCTTATCTAAACCGGTAATTTATAATAACTCTGAGTGCCAAAAATAACTTTGATGTTTAACAGTATTGCATGATATGTTGAACAAATTTACGCAAAGTTGTATAACTTAAGAACTTCATGATAATTAACGAATTATTAGCACTTCCCAAATCAAATTTAACTTTGGACCTTCAGCATTTCAAGTTTCATTAGTAACTAAAATATTTTACCTAAGACCCTCCCAATAAGTACAGCGCGTTTCAACACTTTAATAACACCTAATGATCTTTATCATCCAATCAAAGCTCGAGTAAGTTATCAGCAATTTGACTTATTTTGTTATTAAAAGGGTTATTGAACAAGGTTAATTATCAGCTCTTACAGTCGTGGCGCCCACTGTAGGTGTAGATAAAAAAATTCTCATAATTGTAATTACTTATACGTAATTCCGAGGCGCAATAAAAACCAAACCGCAAGATGCCCAGTGGAATCTCTAATTAAACAGTCGACCGGGCGATAATGAAAACCAATTGTAACTATTTTTAAACCAATTGAGGTGATCCCTTTCGGAATCCCCCCTCGAATCCGGGGCGAAAAGTTTGCACATCTGACTCAAGTGCACAGGTTGGAGGCCATAAAACAACGGGGGTACCAATAAAGTAGACCCCGACTACCTGATAAGCGCCCAGCCGGGTCAGATAATGCGCATTTATAACGGCAATAGAACCCCCCTATGGATCCCCTCCCAAATTCTGGCTATATCATATCGTAAATCGTTGGAAAACAAAGTTTATAGCGACGGCGGCTACCGAAGTTAAGTTCTCAACCGATTTCAGATTGTGGAACGGAAGAAAGTTCTTTGAGGCTAATGGCTTTTTCATTGTGGTATCCTGGCACCCATTAGGACCACCGACTGTAATTATACCCCAATAATGGCCTCGTGACATGCCCCATCGTTTACCGTACTAACCACACGCAATGCTGTCGGCGCAGAATTTTTTTATTTATTTCGGCATTTGGGGTTATTGAAACTTGTTGCCTACGCTTGTTTACATTATAAATACATATACATCACTGGGGGTATCTATATATCGTAATACACGGATTTTGGGGGGATATGTATATGTGGGCCACACGCGGCTGGCGCGTTTCAGACTTTGAGCGAACGCAATGAATGTTCTGGCTATATCTATGTACATATATCTCTTCGCATCATCCGGTCTCCTCTCCATTCTGCGATCTATTCTCATCTGGTAGTCTGCAGACTTGTTTGCTATATTGGATTTCTTTACTTTTGTTTTTCTCTCCATTTCTTTTTATCCAAATATTTACGTTGACTTTTAAGCAGAGTTAGGAACAGGGTGTCTCCACCCATTAGTAAAAGTAATTATCCGAATTAAGTGCACTTAACTTGATGAAATGTCATAACGATTTCTAAATACCATTCAGCACGTGATCAATAATTCCCGAGGAATTTATGTTCCGAACGTCAACGGTTTATCTAGCTATAGTATATATATCTGTGTTGCTAGCATTATTCTGTACTCTGAAAATAGCCATCTATTGGACTTTTTGATGTGACGCATTTGAAGAGTTATGCAAGGAGAACGGCGGATATGTGATGAATTAAAGAAAGGAAATTAGAAATTGTCAATCAGAGAGACAGATAGTGATGAGGATAGGTTTAATGGAACTCCAAAATATCGCGATATCTTATTTCGCTATAATAAACACATTAAGTACAATTATTTGCCTTAAACACTTTTTATATCTTTGATGACATAACCAAGAATATTTTGCATTCTTTTATCTGTTCTATGAAAGAAACAAACGACTTTATTTTAACCTTTAATTCTGCATAAATAAACCGAGATATGCGTTTATTCAAGTCATGATTACCAAGTTTTATTACGGCACTTTAAGTCATAAAAAGCTACCAAATTTGTTTCTATATACTCCTTTTTTGTGCTGGTCTATTCTTCTCCTAGGTATAAACTATTCCACTGAACCAAGATCAGATCATAGAATTCCAGTCCCGAGGTGGGCTATTGTCCCATGGACATACGTCACATTTTTACGTTCCACGAGCCTTATCGGTCCTGGGTTGTATTACGCATGCATCCAGAAATCGAACATGTGTATATTTATAGCCCATCCCTCTCAATCACGCATGCAAATCGTGAATAGCGCCTTGTAGCATTCCTCCCCAATGGAACGCCGTAATCTCTGCGCTCCGTTCCCGTGAAATCCGAAAGGAAAAAACCTTCCCAAAGCAAACCCCCAAGTTAAGTTCACTGTGCCATTAGGTTCTTCGTGCTAGTGCCGTGAATGAGTCTTATCTGGGGTGTGGAATCTCATGGGGGGGCGCGGGCGTGTGGTCTACCAAAGTTTATTAACTTATAAAAAAAGGAAATAAAACATAATCAAAGAGAATGTCTTCCTCTTTTCCCTACCTCGGCGGCAGACACTCGGCTGGCACATGCTAAACGCCTGATACCAAACCGCCAAAAGAAAAAACATCTAACAAACACAAGAAATTCTAGGGTGGTAATGCTGATCGAACTTTAGGATACCTGTTAGGAATATAATATGTTTGCTTTTTATAGAATATTTAAAGATACACATAGCTAATAAAACTATTTTTATTAGATATGTAGTTATCACATTTCAAGGTCCAGATAAAAAACCCGCTAAATATAAGTTGTTTGTTAAAATATATGACCCCCTAACACCCAGCACTACCTGGTAGATTCTTAGCCATAGAGAATGTTATCGCCTGACAAATTTTCGGCACTTATCTGCTAGGTGCAGCCGGGAACCGGTTCCCCCCATAGTCTCTGATCTCCCGAAATCCCCCCAAGTGGCGAGACGTCGAGAATGTGTCACCCGAATGGTTCACCGAAGATTGCGATGTGACGTTGTAGCCCCGACCAGATAATTCCGATCGCTCTCTGGGACTTTGAACCAGCCCATGTCTATATTTCATACGATTCAGTCGCCATCAAGAGCACAATAGAAAGTCTTTGATAAGATATGAAATGATTTCCTATGGGGCCATAGCACCCATGAACTTGGAACTAATCTAATACTTCACTTTTTTAGTCACTCCACTTTTTGATTGATTAATTTATATGGCCCAAATTAAACGAATGCCACTAAATTATTGGCTATTTTGGGAATAGGTGTTTGGCAAAAATTTAATCAAGCGCGAAGCGCAACGGAAAATTTTGAGAAAGAATTTTAGACAAACATGATCTTCTAATGGAGAATCTATTTATATCGGTGCTCATATGGAGCAAAAAATGTATCTGAAAAATACATATTCTCAAATGCATTTCTCTGGTCAAAAGTTGAAAGACCCCATAGAGAGATATGTAAATGAAATTATTAGTCCGCGTGTGACAGTTATGGCTGAGCTGATCTGTCAAAGATCTTGAGATGGAGCACCACCAAAATTAAAAAAAATATGTCTAAAATTATAACCAAAACAACAAGTGACTTTGTGTCATTTCATGTCGTTATTTCGATTTTGCTTCGTTTGAAAAACAGAATTCTTTTAGTTGTTTATTTCACATATTTCAAATTGTTATTGCTCAAATAAATTAATTGTAAATCGCATTTCAAAGCATTTTGTTTTTCCTATGCATGCCAATTGTGACGGTGTTTGATAGGTTTATGTATGTGTTTTGCAGTTGATAACGATTCTATTTGAACGATTCTAAACCACTGCCGTCCCTAGTTCGATAAAACAATGTAAATATGGGGCGATTCGGTTGCATTACGTGACCTCGCATTATTCAAGGTTCCACTTCTGGATGCAGTTGAACAATCAACCACACTGTCAATCAATTGAACGATCTATCGATCGTCGAACTGTCTATTTAGGGAGCAATTTAGAGAGCTCATTCAGCTAAAGTGGTGCTCTGAGGGAGGGGAGTGGAAAATGACAGTTCCTCGGTTTTAATACAATACGACATTACGCAAATAAAAACTTTTGCAAGTTCGATGTGGGACAAGAACGCTTAAAACAATTTTTAACTAAAAAAACTGAAAAAATTAAAAAAAAAATATGACAAATGGCCAATACTATTTTGGGACTGAAATATATCGTAGCAGGGAAATAAATAATATTCATTAAAAAAAAATTATGTTCTATTAGTAGTATTCAGAGAATACAAAATTTTTCTAATAGCATTTAAATTTTAAGTAAAAATATATCTAGGAATGTATATTTGAACTGCAATAAACCTGGTATTTTTAATAAAAGTTGAAATCAATAGGTTCGAGCTACTGAAGTGGGCCTGTAAATATTTTCCTGATAAGCAGGATTGCATTACATGATATAGATTCGGAATTGAATCAGGCGCCTGATTGCGTGGGCAAAGAGAGAGATATAGGAGCCATATAGCATATAGGCAGTGAGCATGAGAGTGCGCCACCTTTTCGCGGAGAGAGTCCGATCTTTCTTGGGGGTTCGACGTTGCTGGGTTGCTCCAACGGCGCTCATTCGCCTGTGAGCAGCCGTCAGTGTCGCGTGTGCCAGCAGCGGGATAAATAGAGAAAATACCACTAAAATTATCTAGCAGTGCATAAATGTATGTGTGTGCAAATAAGTGCAAAACGCAAGCGGAATAAAATAGCTAAATAACGTGCAAAAATCGTTTTCAAGTGCAATAGCACTAAAACATAAAATAAATATAAATTCAAACGAGTATTTTTGTTATTTTTTGCAGGCTACAATAAACTGAATTAACAGTGCTAATCAAAACCAGAAATAACTGTTAACTTTAAACGGTGTGAACACGCGAATTGAACATAGAACCAATTGAAAAAATAAACCGAGTGGAAATCAAATTAGATCCCGAGAGACTTTCAGCAAGTGCAACGGTAACAACGTATAATGGCACCAACAATCACTGACAATTGCGAATTTGAATGTGCAACTGTTGAAGCAACAACAACATCAACGACCACCATCGGTGATTTCGATCATTTCGATAATTCGGCCATCGGCGGCAGCAGCGATAATATCGAACAATCGAATGAATTGCATTTGAGCGGGCAGCAGGTTCAGGATGTTCAGGAGGAGGAGGAGCAGCAGCAGCAGATGCCATGGGAGGCACCTGGAAAACAGGGACTCTACGATCCCCAGAACGAACACGAGGCCTGTGGAGTCGGTTTCATCGTGGCCATCGATGGCAAGCGCTCTCACAAGGTAAAGATCAAGGATATTTAAAATGATTTGGAAAATACAGTGTATACTCGATTTTTTTTAAATACCCGATAATATTTTTAAAGGATTGTACTAAATACTTTTATTTTAAAAATCGTTCTGCGAGAAATTAGCTATAAAAAATCAAATATATTGGTTCCTAAAAAAGTGCTTGAAATTAATATTTTTCAAAAATGTTTCAGTTTTGGTATCACAATAGATCCAAAACCACTTTTTTTTATTATAATGTAGTGTTTCCTTTCTTTCATTTGCTTCCAAATGTTTTATTCATAACAACGTTGACTTGTCCGTTGAATTTAACAACCATTAACTGTATTCTTCTTTTCTAAAAAAATGTTTTATTTATAAAAACGGTATGAAGAACTACATTTATTTGCCTTTAAATATTATATAATACTTATATTTCTTCTATCCTACTTATAGATTCTACGTGATGCCCAGACCTTGTCAGAACGGATGAATCACCGTGGCGCCTGCGCCTGCGACAATGACACTGGTGATGGCGCTGGCGTCTTGGCTTCCATTCCTCACGGACTCTATTTCAAGGCTCTGTAAGTATATATCTCTTAACATTAAATATATGTTTATTTATGCCGGTTCCTTTTGGCGCCGTCGCCATTGATGAGTGAACCGCTTACACGGGACCTGTCGATAGGGTAGCGGGGCATAGCGAAACGATATAGGGGCGATCTCGTGCGCGAAATACGAAAATAACTCAAAGCTGTCGTGTCATTTGTCGCTGTCTATCAGTAAAGATCTACTCTCTAAAAAAGTATTTTTAATTTTGGGTGTGATTTGTCGAACTAAAAAATCTTTAAGGATCAGAGATTCAAAATTATTTCTTTGACGACTGACAAATTTAATATAAAGAAATTTTGTAAGAGAATGAATGTGCTATATAGTTTTAAATATGATAAAAACCTAAGAACAAGGCTTTTATGATATCTTTTCTTCCTCGAATTACCAATTCCATTATAATAAGTCCAAAGCTCAAAAAATCACATAACAATTGAGATTTAAGTGAGATATATTGACTACGTTTAGCTACTGAATGCAACAATGTATGAATGAGTTAAATCAAGTTGTGCACTTGAATAATGTATGATCTAGTTTCCATCTGGGGGAGGGCATTAAAATTTAGCACTTGGCTTTTAGCAATGACTTTCCTTTATTGGCTGAATCTCAAAGTACCAGTACCGTAAAGAAAGCAATCGAGCACGTCAAAAATAGTTTGCTGAAATGAGGCAGATCCACAGATCGGCAGATATATATCCCCACTGAGATGAGGAGACCCAGACCCAGCCACGGTCATGTACATATAGTATGTACATATGTATGTCAGAGAGTATTTGCCTACCTATAGAGATCCAACAATTCAACATCTGCTCTCTGCTCCCGTCTGATGTTTTTTGTTTTCTATTTATTTTGTCAGCATTTTGGCACGGTTCTTGTTTTCGTCACGCATTGCTCAGTATCGCTAAACATACATACCCGTAGTATATATTTTTAATGGGCTTTATATGGCATAAAACGTTTTTTTAGGGACTAGCCTAAGTGGGTAACAGAATAATGGCCATTTGCAGGCAATTACTTGGTGCAAATTACTCCATCGCACAAAATTATATTATAATATTTAGCTCAACTACGCGAAATGGAAAAACACGGAAAGTCCCACACTCGTAGCTTTCTCGGGTTCACCACTTTATCCAGTGTACCAGATGTGCATAGTAATGAGCCTTGGTCTGGTTGGAATCAGGCGATGCAAATTAAAAACGATTTGGGAATTCCATCAGTTGATATTAGACCTGCTTTAGTTAGCATCTGTTACTGTAAGTTCTTCTAAGCAAATTTTATTAATAATAGTTACTGAAGGTATGTTATTAATATGTATTTTTATTAGAAAAAGCTTTCTGAAAATATCAGCTATATACAAATTTAAAATGAAAATAAAAATCTGTTAAGAAATATAGTAAAATGGGATTTATAGTCCAAGTTTATTAAGGTCAATTGATTTAAATCGGTTAAATCAAAGTCAAATGTAGAAAAGATCGCAATGATTTTAAGCATTTAAATCAAAGCTCAAATACATTGACCTTTAATTAATATTTCATTCAAGTTTTAATACTATTTCGGTTGCCATGTGCCTATTGTAGAGTCCTCAAAAAGTAATAAAATCATTTTGGGCTGATCAGCTTCTGAATTTTCCCGCCTTTTGCTCCATTACAGCCCATGGAAAGCGTATCTCCCGAACCCCAGCTAATAAAAACGGCACTGTCCTATCGATTTACAACTCAATATGCGCTAATCAATGGCGCGAATTTGCAACTATTTGCTATGTAATTAGTAGACCAGATGTCTGAACATATAATATACACAATCTGTTAGGTGATAGATGGATGGTCACAACTGGTTGGGTCATTAAAACGCGTAATGTCGCACGACGTTCTCATAAATCTAGTATTATTATCGTCTGGCCGAGGTTTTAATAGATATGTCCGAACACTTTTCGCGGGGTTCTAGAGGTATTGGCGTTCCGCTTGACGGAAGAAATTGTGAAATACTTTGCATGCCAATCGGTGAGGATGAAATGCGCTCTAGACCCGCACGTGCCAACTGATGGAGAGCACTTTAGATTGCGATCTGAGAGCAACAAGTCGGCGAATGCCAAGTTCAAGGACCGCTTCAAGTCTTGGACTAATTGCGAAAAAATATGGCAAAACACTTAGCCGGTACCTCGTCCATCGGATCGGGCGGAATTCTGAGACGTAATAAGAACAAGCTTCGGTTGCAGTATAAGCTCAGCTCAATCTGAAATACACTTGGAGAAATACTTGAAAGTTTCGGTTAAATTTCTCTGAAATATATAGTATTATGTTTACACTTCTTTTTATACCCGTTACTCGTAGAGTAAAAGGGTATACTAGATTCGTCGGAAAGTATGTAACAGGCAGAAGGAAGCGTTTCCGACCCCACAAAGTATATATATTCTTGATCAGGATCACTAGCCGAGTCGATCTAGCCATGTCCGTCTGTCCGTCTGTCCGGATGAACGCTGAGATCTCGGAAACTATGGGAGCTAGGCTATTGAGATTTGGCGTACAGATTCCTGAGCTTCTTACGCAGCGCAAGTATGTTTCAGCACAGTGCCACGCCCACTCTAACGCCCACAAACCGCCCAAAACTGTGGCTCCTACAGTTTTGATGCTAGAATAAAAATTTTAACTGAAATGTATTGTTCTCATCAATACCTATCGATTGACCCAAAAAAAAATTTGCCACGCCCACTCTAACGCCCATAACGCTTAAATCTGTATACCGCCGGTAGGTGGCGCATTTTAATCTCGCTTTGCTGCTTGCATATCTCTATTTAGCTGAGTAACGGGTTTCTGATAGTCGAGGTACTCGACTATAGCGTTCTTCTTTGTTTCTGATTACAATACTTAAATAGTAAAATTTGAATTACTTAATTGAAATTATTTACCATTTCCTTATTCCTATCCTTTATTCCTTAATTGAATTGTTTATCATTTTTTTGTACAGATTAAATTGAATTGAATTTTTTATTTTGTTTGTATAAAATATACATGGCTTTTTCTCAGTGTAAGAATGCATGTCAGACGAATTTAGCGGTCCGGTGGGCGGGCTGGGAGGTATGTGGGGCTGCTATGGGTTGTGACGGCTGGACCGCTGACAGCTTCTCCATAGAGGGATGTTGATAAGGTGCGACTTGCGGCGTACTCATTTCGTCACAAGCGCTCAATGGATTCCGTTGATTTGGAATGGCGCGATGAATGAACGACTGAACAACAAACCAAGTAGAAACCTGACTATGTGCGATTTAATGGCGCATTACTATTGAACCAGCAAATTTATCCAAGTAGTGCGATGCGCCACAGACCACATTCAGAAAACTAGACATTCTTTACTACTCGGATAAAAAAAGTGAAGAATTTTTATGATTTTCGTAAAGTTTTTCAAGAGCTGTTTTAATTCTTTATATATAAAAACATGGGAAAATATTTAATAATTATAAAACAACATATATTTAATATTTACAATTTCAAATACAATGTACTATACTATAAAAATGCAAGAGAAAGCTATTAATCTTTAATAAAAAGTATGAAACATCCAAATCTGTAATATTTTTTACCTTTTATGATATAAATAAAATATGATTATAATACAAATGTGAATATGGATATAAAAATAATACATTTTTTTTAGAACATTTATAAGGCTTTCGAATTGTTATTAATTAAATTTTACTCAATATCTTCTTTTCTCCATATCCATTTGCAGTGCCAAGCAGGGTGTAACCTTGCCGGATTTGGGTGATTATGCCACTGGCATTTTCTACTTGGATGAGGCCCAGCACGCCGCCGCCGAGAAGGAGTTCGACGAGCTGGCCAAGAGCCTCGGCCTGGAGGTGATTGCCTGGCGCACTGTGCCGGCCAAGCAGTCGGCTATTGGCGGAGTGGCCCGCAAGTCGGAGCCCCTGTCCCGCCAGGTGTTCGTCCGTCGTCCTGAAGGAAGCGATGAGAAGGCCTTCGAACGGCAGGTCTTCGTCCTAAGGAAGAGGGCCAGCCATGAGTTGATCAAACCAGGGCGGCGATTCTACATCTGCTCCCTGTCCGACCGTACGGTGGTCTACAAGGGACTCTTCACTTCCGATCAGTTGTGGGACTACTATACGGACCTCAAGGATCCGGAGTTCGAGACCTACTTGGCTTTGGTCCATACGCGTTTCTCCACCAACACCTTCCCCAGCTGGGAGAGGGCCCATCCTCTGAGAGTCCTGGCCCACAATGGTGAGATCAACACGCTGCGAGGAAATGTAAACCTGATGAAGGCCCGCGAGGGTGTCATGCAGTCGGATCTGTTTGGGGATCAGTTGAAGAAACTGTATCCCGTGGTGGAGCCGAATCTCTCGGATTCCGGCAGCTTCGATTGCGTGCTGGAGTTCCTGACCATGGCCAGCGATAGATCGCTGCCGGAATCGGTGATGACCATGGTGCCGGAGGCGTGGCAGAATGACAAGACGATGCCGCAGGAGAAGCGCGACTTCTACCAGTGGGCCGCCTGTGTGATGGAACCCTGGGATGGTCCGGCTCTCATCAGCTTCACCGATGGTCGCTACATTGGCGCTGTGCTAGATCGAAATGGATTGCGTCCATCGCGTTTCTATGTGACCAAGGAGAACGTGCTGGTCATGGCCTCCGAGGTGGGTGTCTACGATGTGGATCCATCGCAGGTGACCCTCAAGAGCCGCTTGAAGCCGGGCAGGATGTTGCTGGTGGACACCAAGGAGAAGAAGCTCATCCAGGACATCGAGCTGAAGGCCAAGATCGCCAAGTCGAGGCCCCACTCTGAATGGCTGCAGCAGAAGGTGAGTTGAGATTTGGAGAATGAGTTGTATTCAGAAATATTGGGAGAGGTACCTATAATCTTTAATCAGATCTTAGTTATAATACCTAGAGTGGTATTACTATAAACATTTCTAAGAATTTTTAGACCTCCCACTATTTTTGTGCAACAAGTTCAGCCATCATAATATACACATATCAGGCTCACAGGCTCGATTCCCACTAATCATCTCTAGACACAAACTCATCTCCAGACACAAAATTTTGGAAAACTAATGATCTAATAATCTATATCTGGTCTACATTTGTCCATTCTCTCTTACGCTATCCCCTAATCTCAAAATGTGTGTTTATTTTGTTGTGGAACTGATGCAGATGGTGAGTTATAAAACCCAGGTTGCCCTAGGTCCTAGCCCTTAGTCCTTTGGCCCCCCAAAAAGTAGCGTTGATCTCGTTTTTTGCCTCCCCGTTGCGTTTCATTTTGCATGCTCTTTAATTGCTTTAACCTCTTGTTATTTAAAAAGAAATTAATTTGTGTTATTTCATACACGAATAGATTACCCTGGATGAGGTTCGCAATGCTAATGTGTTGAATACTCCGCCCGTGGACGAACTGGCCAAGCTGCCCGCCTCCCAGAGGGGAATCTTTGATCCCAGACTCTCCCTATTTGGTTACAGCACCGAGACGGTCAACATGCTGCTCATTCCCATGTTCAAGAACAAGTAAGTGGTTAAAACTAGACCCATTTAAGTGGATTTCGCAGTGTATTGATTTTTAGATTCAAGTAAAGAACTTTATATACTTATATACCACCAATCTATGTTTTTACAGGAAGGAAGCCCTGGGCTCCATGGGCAATGATGCCCCGCTGGCTTGTCTGTCCAACTTCCAACCCATACCCTACGAGTACTTCAAGCAGCTCTTCGCCCAGGTGACCAATCCACCTATCGATCCATTCCGCGAGAAGGTGGTCATGTCGATGCAGTGCCCCCTTGGTCCGGAGGCGAATCTGCTGCAGCCTTCGGCTCAGCAGGTGCATCGCATTTGGCTCACCAATCCCATACTGAGCATTCCAGATACCCAGCTGCTCAAGCGGAACACGCACCGCGGCTGGCGGACCAAGGTCCTGGACATCACATTCCAGTATGACGAGGGCGTTCAGGGTTACCTCGACGCCATCGATCGTGTGTGCCGCGAGGGATATGCGGCAGCCCAAGCGGGTTACCAGCTCTTGGTGATCTCCGACCGTGGAGCGGGAATTGGAGGCAAGGTGGCGGTGTCCGCCCTTTTGGCCCTGGGAGCCCTGCATCATCACCTCATCGAGACGCTGCAGCGCATGAAGGTGGGCATTGTGGTGGAGACGGCCGAGGCCCGTGAAGTCCATCATATTTGTGTGCTCCTCGGCTATGGTGCGGATGCCATCTGCCCGTATCTGGCCTTCGAATTGGCCCAAGCTCTGAGAGATGATGGGGTCATTGGTCCGGAGGTCAGCGACAAGCAGATCTATGCCGCCTATGCTCAGGCTATTGATACGGGCATTGCCAAGGTAATGGCCAAAATGGGCATCAGCACTCTGCAATCCTACAAGAGCGCCCAGATCTTCGAGGCTGTGGGCTTGGGCACCGATCTGGTGGCCAAGTGCTTCCGCGGCACCCAAAGTCGCATCGGCGGCGTCACCCTGGAGATTCTGGCCAAGGAGGGTCTGCAGCGCTATCAACTCACCTACGGCAAGGCCACACCGGACACTCGCATCCTCCGCAATCCTGGCCAGTACCACTGGCGTCATGGTGGAGAGGCCCACATCAACGAGCCCTCCTCCATTGGCAGCCTTCAGGAGGCGGCGGTGAATAAGAATCTGGATGCATTCGAAGCCTTCAAGAAGACCACTCTAGATAGTGTGAAGAAGTGTGCTCTCCGTGGACAGCTGGAGTTTGTCACAGATCGACAGAGTATTGATATCTCCGAGGTGGAACCAGCCAGCGAGATTGTCAAGCGGTAAGAGATAGCTTAACTTATTATCTAGTAACTACTTTATTAGATATGGTATTCCTATAGTTTTGCCACTGGCGCCATGAGCTTTGGCAGCATCTCCTTGGAGGCCCATCAGACCCTTTCGATTACCATGAATCGCATTGGCGGCAAGAGCAACACCGGTGAAGGTGGCGAGGACTCGGATCGTTATTTGAGTGAGTCCCACTTAGAATCCGTTTGAAATAACTTATTTTATCTGGAATGTACCCGCCTACAGATCAGGATCCCAATCACAGCCGTCGATCGGCCATCAAGCAGGTGGCTTCAGGTCGTTTTGGCGTGACCGCTTCCTATTTGGCCAATGCCGATGATCTGCAGATCAAGATGGCCCAAGGAGCCAAGCCCGGTGAGGGTGGTGAGCTTCCGGGTTACAAGGTGACCAAGGAGATTGCCAAGACCCGAAAGTCGGTACCCGGAGTGGGCTTAATCTCGCCTCCACCACATCACGATATCTACTCCATTGAAGATCTGGCCGAGCTGATCTATGATCTTAAGTGTTCCAATCCTAATGCACGCATCAGTGTGAAGCTGGTGTCCGAAGTGGGCGTCGGTGTGGTTGCCTCCGGAGTTGCCAAGGTGGGTTTGAAATAAATATGTTACTAAGGAATGTTTATAAAAACTTTTATATCCAGGGCAAAGCGGAGCATATTGTAATTTCCGGACACGATGGCGGCACCGGTGCCAGTTCTTGGACAGGCATTAAGAATGCCGGATTACCCTGGGAGCTGGGCGTGGCCGAAACGCATCAGGTGCTGGTGCTGAACAATCTGCGATCACGGTAAGTTTCCGACCAGGAGAAAGCCGGCCCAGAGCCAATCCCGCTCTCTCCTCTTGTTGTTACTAATCATGAACCGATACATTACTGAAAGTGCCTGGTTATCCAGATGACAGCGTTGGAAAACCTGTTCAGAACATGTATTCCCAAAAAGCAGAGATCCATTGATCATCGGAAAGTTGGGCTGATCCCCCTACACAACCCCATTGAAACTCCTCGTACATGTGGCCAGTGGGCGGTGGGCAGGAGGACGATGACACGGCGGATGGCGAGGGCGAATCTTGTCCAGCGAAAGAGATACAAAGAAAATATGTCTTTACTTTGAGAATGTATCTTGTTTCTTAATAACGGACGAACCCATGGAACTGATCCTGTTGAAAGGAAATGGATGAATAAACATAATGGATAGAGAATCCCTTGATATTCAGATCCCGCTTCCAGCCAGCTGAAAAAAAAATAAACACGATTCGATCGATCCAGTCCAAATCCAAACTCCAGTCCACTCGCTCTACTCCACTCCACTCAATCGCTCACTCGATCACGATCGTCGCGCTGTGCTCCATTCGTAATTTCTTCTCATTACATTGATCCTTACCTGGGGTTGAGTTAGCTAACGTTGCCTTCCTTTCTATGTCGTGTCTTCCCACTCTAAACGGTCTGGATCTGGATAATAATTGAATGATGCCCCTCTCCCCAGTGTGATTGTACAAGCCGATGGACAGCTGCGCACAGGATTCGATGTTGTGGTGGCTGCTCTGCTGGGTGCTGATGAGTTTGGATTCAGTACGGCTCCTTTGATTGTCATGGGTAAGTGGGGATAGAATGTTTTTTTAATATTTAACTTAACTTCTTAATAATCCCTGAGTAAAGGCTGCACCATGATGCGCAAGTGTCACTTGAACACCTGTCCCGTGGGCATTGCCACCCAGGATCCTGAGCTGCGCAAGAAGTTCACTGGAAAACCAGAGCACGTTATTAACTTCTTCTTCATGCTGGCCGAGGATGTAAGACTAGAATTTATAATATTTCCCAAAGATATACTCATTTCTAACCTCTTGTCCAGATTCGTAAAATCATGGCTGGTTTGGGTATTCGAAAGTTCCAGGACCTGATCGGTCGCACCGATCTTCTTCGTGTAGCCAGTCAACGCGATTCTAAGGCCAGTAACCTGGACCTCAAGCTGCTCCTTCAGCCAGCTTTGGAACTGCGTCCTGGCACCAATATCGTGGGTGGATCCATCAAGCAAGACTTCCAGCTAGAGAATCGTTCCGACAACCAGCTGATTGCCAAGGCTCAGCAAATCTTCAACGGAGCCGATGATAATGTGACCGTCAAGATGCGCATCCACAATGAGGAGCGCGCCTTTGGTTCCACTCTAAGTTATCATATTGCTTGGTAAGAATTGGAGTACCTTTTTTTTAAGAATTTGTTTTATATATTATTGTAAATTTCCTTTACAGCAAATATGGAGAGGCTGGCTTGCCCGCTGGCAAGAGCATCGATATCTTTTTAGAGGGATCTGCCGGTCAGAGTTTCTGCGCCTTCCTGGCTCGTGGTGTTAATGTGACCCTCAAGGGCGATGCCAACGATTATGTGGGCAAGGGTCTCTGCGGTGGCAATGTGGTCATCACCCCACAGGATACGGCTCCCTTCGAGTCCCATCTCAATGTGATTGTGGGCAATGTCTGTCTGTACGGAGCTACCGAGGGAACCGCCTACTTCCGGGGTATTGCCTCCGAGCGCTTCTGCGTGCGCAATTCCGGAGTAACCGCCGTGGTGGAGGGTGTGGGCGATCACGGATGCGAGTACATGACGGGTGGCGTGGTGGTGATCCTCGGTCTTACGGGACGCAACTTTGCCGCTGGCATGTCCGGTGGTATTGCCTATGTGTACGATTTGGATGGTTCCTTCAAGCCCAAGGTGAATCCGGAGAGTGTGGAGCTCCTGCCGCTGGAGATCGAGAAGGATGTGCTGCTGGTCAAGGAACTGTTGGCCGATTTCATCGAGAAGACGGGATCCAAGGTGGCCAAGGAGTTGCTGGATAACTGGGCCGAGGCCCAAGGCAAGTTCGTCAAGGTCTTCCCGTACGAATACCAGAAGGCTCTCAAGGACATGGCCGAGCAGGAGGCGGTGGAGCAGCCTCTGAAGTCCGCCATCGAGAATGGCAATGGAAAGCATGAGCCGCACATCAAGGACATCGAGGAGGCCATCCAGGATGTGGCACTCGAGCAGAAGCGTGCCGATCGCGTGCTGGACAAGACCCGCGGCTTTGTGAAGTACAAGAGGGAGGCGGCTCCGTACCGAGATGCTGGGGAGCGACAGAAGGATTGGGACGAGGTCTACAACTTCCCACATGTCCGCAAGAACCTCAAGGTCCAAGCTGCCCGCTGCATGGAGTGCGGTGTGCCCTTCTGTCAGTCCAACTCCACTGGCTGCCCGCTGGGCAACATCATTCCCAAGTGGAACGACCTCGTCTTCCACGGTGAGTGGCAGGAGGCCCTGCGTCAGCTGCTGCAGACCAACAACTTCCCCGAGTTCACTGGTCGCGTGTGTCCCGCTCCCTGCGAGGGATCCTGCGTCTTGGGCATCTCGGAGCCGGCTGTCACGATCAAGAACATCGAGTGCGCCATCATCGATCATGCCTTCGAACAGGGCTGGATCAAGCCAGAGATTCCAGAGGTGCGCACTGGCAAACGTGTGGCCATTGTAGGATCCGGACCATCCGGCTTGGCCGCCTCCCAGCAGCTGAACCGCGCCGGTCACTTTGTCACCGTCTTTGAGCGCAACGATCGCGTTGGTGGACTGCTGCAGTACGGCATTCCCACGATGAAGCTGTCCAAGGAGGTGGTCAAGCGTCGGGTGGACCTGATGGCCGACGAGGGCATCGAGTTCCGCACCAATGTCCACGTGGGCAAGGACCTCAAGGCCGAGCAGCTGCTGCAAGAGTGAGTATTTTTATGGGATCAAAGTTGTTCCAGTTGTCCTTTCAGGTTATCGAGAAAATTATTTTGGCAAAATCTTTTAATATACCATTTCTAGCTTGGAAATCCCATATTAACTGTAAATCTCAGAAATCTGTGATGATTCAAAAAGAATTTTGAAAAATTTCTTAAGGAATAATTAGGTTTTAATGTTTTTGTGACTCCAAGAACTTAGTTCCATTATTATGGTTTTCAGAATTTAGATTTCAGAATGTTCGTTTCCAGAATTTCTGAGTTTAATTACTCTTAGAGAATAATTGTCTTTTAATATTTACTCATCTTTCAAAGTTAATGGGTCCCCAATATTTTAGTCTTTGGAATTTTTTAAGGAACAATTTGTTTTTAAAAGATTCGTATTTTCTTCATATTTTGATTGGATGAAGTTTCTAAGTGGAAATCTATTAAATATATATTTATTAAATTTCCAGATACGATGCCGTTCTGCTGACAACGGGATCCACTTGGCCCCGTGACTTGCCGCTGGCCAACCGTGACCTGAAGGGCATCCACTTTGCCATGGAGTTCCTGGAGGCGCAGCAGAAGAAGCAGCTGGGCAACAAGAATGAAATCATCTCTGCTGCCGGCAAGGATGTGATTATCATCGGCGGTGGAGACACCGGATGCGATTGTATTGCCACCTCGCTGCGTCAGGGTGCCAAGAGCATCACCACCTTTGAGATTCTTCCGGAGCCGCCGCTGAAGCGTGCGGAGGACAACCCCTGGCCGCAGTGGCCGAAGGTCTTCCGCGTCGACTACGGACACGAGGAGGTCAAGCTCAAGTGGGGCAAGGATCCGCGCCAGTACTGCACCACCACCAAGGAGTTCGTGGGCGAGAATGGCGCCATCAAGGGCGTGAACACCGTCGAGGTTGAGTGGACCAAGACGGAGACGGGCCAGTGGCGCATGCAGGAGGTGGCCGGTTCGGAGAAGTACTTCCCGGCCGACCTCATCCTTCTTGCCATGGGCTTCCTGGGACCGGAGAAGACGGTGCCCGGCGAACTGGGGCTGGATCTAGACCCGCGTGGAAACATCAAGGCCTCCAACGGACAGTATGGTACCTCCAACTCCAAGGTCTTTGCAGCGGGCGGTAAGTTTTATGAGTTTTCATTTAATTTTAATATTAATCCTTGTAACAACTTCGTTTATCGAGTCAAAGCTTATCCAGAGTTCATAAAAAATTACAATAGTTGTATCTTTATGAAGCTCTTAAAAAAACGCGAATTCTTAAGTTTCATGAGTATCTTGAATTTTTGAAGAACTCCAAGTCCATCGCAAATTTGTATTAGTATTTTAAACCCTGATAACTACTATTAATCTTAAACTGTTGTTTTTTTAATGTTTACTAACTTTTTAACTGACTTCTTATTTATTTTATTACAGATTGTCGGCGTGGCCAGTCGCTGGTCGTCTGGGCCATTACCGAGGGTCGTCAGGCCGCCCGGCAAGTGGATTCCTATCTGACCGGCCGTCCTAGTGGGCTGCCAGGACCTGGCGGCGTCATCGGGACATCCTAAGCAGGATCTGCAGCGGCAGCCAGCGCAGCTAATATCAAGTTTTGTGTGCGTGCATCGTCCTTAGCCTAGAGCGAAATTCTTTACCGATTTGTGATTTTTATTTTCGCGATTTTAGTTTAGTTTACACTAAAAAAAAGACTTGAGTTTTTTACACACCAAACCAAAACCAAAACGAAACACGTTTCATTTAGTTTTATTTTCATCGCAAAGCTGGCTGGGAAATGTTTGTGGTTCGTCGAGATGCCCTCCATAGGTGATGATAATGCTGCGGCAGGAGTCAATTAAGAGTGCAAAATGATACAATGCTGATTGAAGCCAATCGAATACTTATATATCTTAAAGGAAATCGAATATCCGACAAAAAAGATCTAAGGACAATAACTAGAAACTTACCGTTATCGTTAAAAACAAAAATATTTAGAAAATGCATTTTTTTCAATGTTGTTCAATTTGTGTTGCCTGTTCTTTGCAAAAAAAGAAAAACAAAATATAAAAGTGAAAATTGATATGCTGATCTCCACCCTCCTATATACAATCTACCCATAAATCGTATATACAGACAGACAAAATGTATTAAACTCGGCCAATATCGAAACGCATTTTTTTAGATGTTGTTTGTGTGTTTTGAACTGCATTCGACCGTTAACCGCAGAAGTACCTAAGTGGCTATTGTTAAAGCAACTGTGCTCCTTGGCAGTTATATGTATGAATACAAGAAAAATACACTATTTATACAAAAAATATTTAACCCAACTGTATACCCTTATACATACATCTCTATATGAATATATTTATGTGCAAGCATTTGATGAAATAAATATTCAAACTATTACAAGCAGTCGCTGGATGTTTTTCACTATATGGAATGCAATGGGTTTAATTAAACCTCTGCGAATCTCTGGATGTCTTTTGTAAAAAGGTTCATTGATTTGTAGGAATTATAATTTGTAACCGAATCTTTTAAATTTTTAAACCAAACAATTTATTACACATTTTTCATTATTTTATATATAAAGTTCTTTCCCCTTTTATTATAGTAAACAATACACAACGTACTTATCTTAAAATCCAATGGAGTGAACAAACATTAGGTAATCAATTTTTGTAATACTTATACTAATTATTAAAAATGACAAAATTGATATATTTAATATTTGTTTAATTCTTAAATGTATTTCAAATTAACGCGGCATTATGTAAGCTCAAAAAAAATACCGTTCATAGGAGCACGGTATTTTTGAGGTGCGTGCATTTCCGCCCCTTGGTAACACTGAAGGGGCGTCATTCTTTTCATCCCTGGGCACACTGTTTGCCTATCGCACGCGTATTTTTTGCGAATTTTGCGTGTAAATTTCGTTGTGAAAACACAGTAAAACAGCAGCAATCATGGCCAGTTTCGACCTAACACGCATCAACTGTCAATATCTGGACAGGCATTTGACCTTCCCGCTGATGGAGTTCTTGTGCGGCAAGGAGGTTAGAAACGCGACCAGGCGGTGCTCCGCCAGCGGTTTGCCGTGTCACCAGTAGATAATTATGGGCAATCTACATATATGTGAGTTCTGTTTCAGATCTACGACCAGCAGGAGCTGCTGGAGTACATCCTGGAGACGGTGAACAAGACGAACATGATCGATTACACGATGGACACCCGCAAGCGTCTACATCTCAGCCAGGAGATGCCCGAGGCGCTGGTGCAGCGCAAGGCGGAGGTGCTGTCCACCCTCAAGCAGCTCCAGAACGAGGTGGCGCCCATCATGAAGGCCACCGACATCCTTAAGAACGGCGAGAGCATGAAGGACTCGAAGACTTTCGTCAGCGCCCTGCAGAAGGACTACAACTTCAAGGTGGAGCACCTGGAGAGCGCCTACAAGCTGGCCAAGTACCTCTACGAGTGCGGCAACTACCAAGAGTCCACCTCCTACCTATACTTCTGCCTCATCGTCATGTCGCCCAACGATAAGGTGTGTTCCCATCAAAAGTCCCTTCTGTATTCTCACATTCCTTAAGGAGTTGTTTCATTTACCCACTTCTCGCCTTCCAAACCATACAGAACTACCTGAATGTGCTGTGGGGCAAGCTCGCCGCCGAGATCCTTACCCTCAACTGGAACACCGCCCTGGAGGATCTGACGCGTCTGCGCGACTACATCGACAGCGCCAATTTCAGCACCATCCAAGCCCTGCAGCAGCGCACCTGGCTAATTCACTGGTCGGTCCTGGTCTTCTTCAACCATCCCAAGGGACGCGATCTCATCATTGAGATGTTCCTGTACAAGCCACTGTATTTGAACGCCATCCAGACAATGTGCCCGCACATCATGCGTTATCTGGCCACCGCCGTAGTGATCAACCGCACCCGCCGCAACGCTCTGAAGGATCTGATCAAGGTGATCCAACAGGAATCGTACACTTACCGCGATCCCATCACCGAGTTCTTGGAGTGCCTGTATGTGAACTTTGACTTCGAGGGAGCGCGTCTGAAGCTGCACGAGTGCCAGACAGTGATCCTGAATGACTTCTTCATCGTGGCATGCCTCAACGAGTTCGTGGAGGACGCCCGTCTGATGATCTTCGAGACATTCTGCCGCATTCACCAGTGCATCACCATTAGCATGCTGGCCGATAAGTTGAACATGAAGCCCAACGAGGCGGAGTGCTGGATCGTCAATCTTATCCGCAATGCCCGGCTGAATGCCAAGATCGATTCGAAACTTGGCCATGTGGTGATGGGCACCCAGCCGCTGAGTCCCTACCAGCAGCTGGTGGAGAAGATCGACTCGCTGTCCATGCGATCGGAGCATCTGGCCGGTTTGATTGAGCGAAAGAGCAAGCAGAAGCAGAACCAGGAATCAGTCGACTCATGGAAGTACTACTAAATATCTTACTTTATCGACAGTTAAAGGGATTTTTTAAGCGAATAAACCAGCATCATACCCATTCGCTCAATTCAACATTTAATTTTATTTCCATTGGAATCAATTTTAGTTATACAAAAACAATACGAAGGCGGGAATTTTTAAATTTTACTAGCCTACAGAATGCAAACGTCTGCTAATCCTAGAATTAGTTGTTTGTACCTACGGGTCGGTGCTGGATCCCTTTGAGGACCCAGCCCCGGATCACACTATTGATTGCTACCGCGCCTTCTGCTTGACCACCAGCCAAGATCGCACGGGCAGGTCCTGCAGATAGACTATCCATTTGCGAACCAGCAGCAACCAAACGATGCCGTAGACGACACAAATAACAGACTCCAAGTAGTAGCCATCGAAGGCGATCTCACACTTGCCAGCAGACGCTTCACAGCTCTGTGGAAGAAATGAATAGAAGTTATTTATCTTATCTTCTAGGAGTTTAAGCTTGAATATCTTGAAGATCTTTTAAAATATCTTTTTTGATTAATATTTAGAACTTTTATCTGAAGATTTGTTTAAATGAAAGTATCTTGAAGATGCGTAAATCCTCCCAAAGCACTCACCTGTTGCTCCTCCTTTCCCAGGCAGGTGTTTTCCGCATTATTGGAGCACTGCTTCCAGGTGAGCACGTCCACCAGCCATAGCACCACGGTGTTGGGCCAGTTGCCGCCCAGATTGCACAGCGTGTTGAGAAATGTCATGTAGGTGCCACCCACAGCGGGGTCGGAGATCTTGGCGAAGAAAGCCATAGCGGCCACGAACATGGAGTACAGGAATACTTGGTAGATGGCATAGCTAGTGATCAGCAAGACGTAGTAATAGACGGGCACTGTTCCTCCCCGGATGATGTAGGGTGTGATGTAGGCTATCCCAGTGGCCACCGTGGCCATGATGATGCGGTAGGGAATGGCCTTCAGATAGATGTCCATGGGACGTGGTCCGTTCGTATAGCGACCCACCGCCAGCGGCAGAATAAGTTGCAGCGGAATGAGTGGAATGGCCAGCAAAGCTAGCTTATCCTTGGGCACCCCGGCATCAATTAACTTCAGGCTGGTCACTGCATCCGAGGCGGCAAACGTGACCTTCACGGTGAGCAGGATTACAGCCAGGATCTGGACAGGACGCATGCGCACCATATCCCACAGGATCTTGTAGCTCTCGTGAATATTAAGCTCGTGCTCTTCCGTGTAGCGTGCGTCCATGTGGGCATCCTCAATGTCGTTCTCCTTCTTGAAAATGGCAACCAAAGTGGTGGCTACCACAAACGTGATGCCCCAGAACCAAAGGAAGCGAGGCAGCGTGATCATGCCGTTATCCAGTGGCACATCCCGCAGGTAGGTGTTGCAGAAATCCTTGGACTCCAGGGCGATGAACACCACATAGCCCAGGAAATATCCAGCGGTTTGGCCCACACTATTGCATGTGGAGGCATAGCCAACATTGCATCGTTTCAGCATGGTCAGGGCCCAGCCATCCACGGCGATGTCCTGGGTGGCGGCCAGGAAGTTGAGCAGGAAGAAGAGCAGCGTCAGCAGCGGGACATTTGGATCCACACCATTTCCGCCCAGCCAGCGATCGACGTGGAGGGAAAGGAGCAGCATGAAGGCGCCCAGGAGGTATTGCACCGGTACTAGCCAGGATTTTCGTCGGCCAAATCGCCGGATGTACAGGGAATCCACAATGGGAGCCCACAGCAGCTTTAGGCTGAAGGGCCAGTAGGCGAATGAGAACTCTGCCTGCTGTTTGTAGCTGGCTCCTCTGTTCTGGAGCAGCATGGGAATGGCTGCTATCAGACCAATGGGTATTCCCTGCAGCACATACAGGAACAGCAGGATGGCTATATTCCTTCGATCCCCGCGAATGTCAGGTTTTTGGTGCTCCACCTCCTTCTCCGGCTTTGAGTGCTCCTCGATGAGCAAATCCAGGTCGGCACGGCTGCCCGTTGGCTTCCTCCTTATGGCGGACATGCTGTAGGGGCATTGGGAAATATGTATTATATGCACATGCCACTTTGGAGGCTACCGGCTCACCTGTTTTTCCTAATCACCAACAAATAACAACAAATGGCCCAGGTCCACGTCACTCAAGTGCAGAGCTTTTTTCCCAATTTCTCGATAATATCCTTGTACTGCCTCTAGTTAGGTTTGATGTCTGGATGAATGGGTTTAATATTCTGTGCCAATGGTCTTTTAACTAAATCATATTACCGTCAAATCGGGATATTTTCTTTCGTGGCATATGTTTGTTGACGTTCCCAATATACTTTTATAGCAACTTGAGGTCCCACTACGCAGGTAGGTGCTATAAACCATGGCTATGGTCACACTAATCACTCGAAATTTGAACTTGGTGGCGGGAGGCTTACGAAATTGAAATCCTTATTGGGAGTATGAGGTTGGGTTGACTATTTATAACTCTGCTTTGATTAGCCAGGCCGTGCAGAAAATGGTAGGTACATATGTTTTGCCTGTAAGTTAAATGTAATATTATGAAATGAAAAAGGAATCAAGTAAAAAGCTTTACTTTTTTAATTTATCAGATATAAAAAAAAAGGTTATTGGCAATTATAAACGTTTATGGAATAATAATAAAATGTTTTAAATTTTGGGTTACAAAAGATTCATTACGAAATTGGAGAACTATTTATGTTGCATGTAAAATATAAAAACTTTCTGATATATTTAACATCTAAAATTTTCTTATATGATAAAATATTATATTATCTACTCCCAACGGACTAATATTTATTATGCTGACCGCAACTGTGAGTATAAAAATACGCACATCTGCAGATAACACTCAACTCCCACACCACTCCATAAAAATCACCAACGCAGTTGTTTTGCAGCTTTTGTTTTAATAATAAAGTGAATTACTGAGAGCATTTTGCTTGTTTGCTTGGCGAACACATTCAG